ACAGTGCCAAAGCTCTGACGGTAATATTTCCACTCATACCAGCTCTGGGACGTTATCTCTAACAGATGGGCCTTTCCAAGGTTTCTAGCACAGACTGTAAAATGATACTGTGTGCCTGTTACTTTTCTTACTGCAAATGATAATAAGCCTTTCTCTCTTTTCTATTGCCTAATCATCCTTTGTCTTTTCACTCATAAGGTCTTCCCTAGATGAATGGCACTTCCAGTGTGAACAGACCCCCTGCTTGGGAGCCCAGGGAGGGCTGTCAACCTTGTTAGCACTGCTGTATGGAGTGTACGGGCTCCCAGCGTCGGATTTGATCACAGCTCAGGAGCTGTTATTTTCTGCCCCATCCTCATGACAGGGAGACTGTGCATGCCTCTGTTATCAGGTCACAAACCAGTATCTACAGTCCCCAAGCTTACGTCTTCTCAGTCGAGTGTGTGAGAGTCACGCCAAGATCTGGAGGGGGCACGTGGGACCTCACTCAGTCTGGTAGCTCCTGCTAGAGAGCCTTGAGCTGCAAGGCTGCCCCTAGACAAAGCTCTTTCCAAAAGGAGTGGGGGGAGAAGAAGAATTATTAATTACTTAGGACCTGACTGTGAGCTAGGTCAGTCCTATTAGTTATGATTCACGAGTGCAATTAAAAGTTAGGTAGAAAAGGTGGTGTGACAGCTGACTAATTACCATAACACAGACATTTCTCAATATATTTTCCATATTGATAGTCACCAAGATTTTTAATGTATTTAACACAGCCATTTCTCTATATTTTCTGTATTGATAGTCACCAAGATTTTTAATGTATCTATCTAGAATATATACCTAGCAAAAATTTTTTTTATACAAGTGTAATCTATTGCAGATCTCCTGGGGTGCTGCAAACAGTGTCGAGATTACACATTTAAAATTAATCATGTTGCATGCACTGCTATAGTCAGTTTCTATGGCAGATGTGGGGGAAAGGTGGTATTTTTATATGTACTTATATTTCAGGATGCCGAGTGACCTATTTCTAAATTTATGTAAAATTTTTCTAATATAAGGATTGAATTATTTTTTCCATGGTTTAGTGAAACAGCAGCTATTTGCTTTGCTTCAGGAGAGTCTGGCTAGACTTGACATTGAAGCATGTTCTTTGGTGTCTTTCTTGGGAGGTATTCTACTGGATTGTTTCTGGGGGTTTTTGTTGTTGTTTGGTGGTGGTTTTTTTCTTTTTTCTTTCCATATACTGGAACATACAGGATTTTCTTTCCTCAAGTAATGGATGTTACAAATGAAAATTAATCTGGTGTTAAATGCAATATGTTTGTTGTTTGTCTAGCTTTTTTCCTTTTACACTCTGAGAGTGTCTCTCTTGATTAGACAATTAGGAGAGTTTTTCCTCTTTTGTGTCACTGAAATAGTGCAATTTAATTACTACAATAGCCTCCTTAAGGAGGTGGGCTAGATGGAAGCACCCATCTCTTTGCATAATGGACTACTTCAGGTATATGTTTCTATAGCTAATGAAAGCATCCGCTCAACAGAGGTCGAGATCTGGACAATGTCTAGGGACAGCACTTATCTGGTGGAAGGCAGCTCTGAAATACTTCCTGTGGTTAGTCTCCATAAGCTGTTTGAACTTCTGCTTTTGAATATAGTTTTAGTAACTTAGTTGTTTTAAACTGTTTTATGTTTATTTCTGCACGTTTTGTTCTGCAAAGAGAATAGCTAGCAACATGACAGTATTTGTGTGCTTTGTCCTTGGTATGAATCTTATGGTGATTGAGGAACAACAAATACCCTCCTTGAAAAGATATTTCCAGTACATGGCATATCTGCAGTCTATAATTCTTTCCTTTTTTGAGCCAGATGAGACACTGGGATAAATTAAAGCTGACAATTTGAAGCATAACAGAGAAAGCCAAGTGTTACTTCTTTGCTACAAAGCAAAGACTGTTGCTTTGTTTATCCAGGTGGACCTGAGTGAATGTAACAATAATTTACTAATAGCTGCTGAGCAAAGGTTTCAGCATGAATTCTTTTTTAATTTTGTGAAAGTCACTCAATGTTGCTTGCAACTCTGCTTTGGATTGCTTGCTGTGTCCACATGACTCTCATCAGGCTTTCTGTTGTTCCTATTCTTTTATCCACAAAACCTTAATTGACTACAGCTATAGAATGAGATGTACGCTTCCAGTTTTCCTGCTCAAAATCTCTCTAGTGTTCTTTCACTGCTGAATCAGCTCTCAAGCAGCTGTTAAGGCTTTATTTTACTTCCGGAGCCATGACAAAAATAACTGCATAATGTTGGTTTTTTTGCTGTGGTATTCCTTTTTTTTTCTGAATTTCTGCCTTTCTTCTTTTGTGAGATGTCAAAAAACTTGGATTTTGCTGTAAGCTTATTGCTTTGAGAGTTGTGAGAGATTAATAGTGATACTGAGAGGCTGCTTTTTAAAGGTTGGGGACAGCCCGAGACCCTACTTCTATTTTGAAAAACAGGTCTTCCTGTTGTACATATTATCGTATGTTTACATTAGCTTTAATTGATGTAGAATGATAAGGCTCTTAGTAACAGATGATAAGTAGAGATAAGTGCTGTTTATGGCTTTAGGATATGTAGTAACTATAAATAATATTTGATACTCATGTATTCTTAATTCTTTAAAAGGCACCTGGCGAGGTCATTTGCAAAAGTACTCTTGGCCTACTTTTGCTGGTGTTGACTTGATACTGAAGAATTAGGCCAATACTTAGCACTTGTGAAAGTTCCTGTCCTAAATTTATCTGGATTTGCCTCAGCCTCACACCTTTGATTAGTCTTTTTTGGAGCAGACCGGAGTAAGTGGCGCTGTGAGCTCCAGAGGAAAGGTGGGAACACCGTTCTGAGGCTGCCTGTGGCGTGAGGAGGAGCAAAATGTATTGAACCTGAAGCAATTGGATCGTGATAACCTCAAAACATCAACTTTAGCTGCAATCTTAGCTTAGTTAGCATAATACTGATTTGTATGCCTCCTTTAAAGTTGTACTTGCTCTGGTAGCCTGGTAGCCTTAAGTTCCACAGGTAGTGTAAAATATCAGTTGCTCTGGAGAGGCGCAGTCACTACTTAAATTTAAACCTGTTAACGTACTAGTCCTTAATGAAATGCCACACAAATTTATCTTCCGGATAGGAAGCGACCCATACCTTCTCCAAAACGCACTGTTCCTCATCTCAGTGGTAATTTCAGTGTAAAACCAATGGCTAGACCCAGCTGAGACCTTGCTATCACATTGCTGTGCTGTTCTGGTCTTCTTCAGCTCTTGCATTGTGCTTGCTGGCTTTGTATCTGTCTGGTGGTTCCTGGAAATAATTGCCAAGCTGACTCACCAGTGAGAGAGCCTCAGCAGAGCTTGCTTTTGGAGGCTGGGGCTGTTTCGTTACTGTTGCTGAGAATAGATTTGCTCTGGGAATAACTGAGTATTTCTAACTAGGTAAGGTAAATGCCATAAAGAGAGACCTTGTTTCATGTGAAAAGAGAGCGTATTGGTTGAAATGTTACAGCAAACTATTGCCAAAGAGGCACTGTAAATTAAAACAGATCATTGTTCAGAAGTTGTGTGCTTCAGATTTCAGCAGTAGGAAGAGAGGTTTTCTGCAGCGTACTGTGGCCTTCATCTTAAATATAGCACCTTGGTTTATTTAGGTTTTGGGGTTTTTTTTCATTGTTTGTGTGGGTTTTGTTTGAGTTTTGTTTTGTTTTAAAGGGCAATGAATTCTTAAAATACACAAAGTTTTCTACCGGGGTCTGAAAAAGCTGCTTCTCTCAGAATAGGTTTTTAAGCCTCTTCAAGGAAAAATGAATGGCAAACTTCAATAACCAGCGCCCCCAGCCCAGGACTGTTCTGACAGTACAAAAAAAGGGGATTGTGAAGTAGTGCCTTCCTGTTCCAGTAATAAAATTTCTCGTTTCTTTGTGGAAACTTCTTACCTTCCTCAGTGGTAGTTCTTGCACTCTTCCTAAAGTACAAATTCCTTGCCTGACAGCAAAATATCTCAAGTGATACACAATTCATAAAGCTCCTCCACCACCACAAGTTTGGAGAGCATCACCCTTTTGTTATGTCCTCTGATTTAAAAAAAATATGCAGTTACCGTGACAACTCTTGCCCACACTGGAAATCCATTATTGGGAGTTTCTGGCATGGCTTTTATTTGCACATGCTGCAAACAGCACTGTTATTAAACAGAGTGTTAGTTATTCTTCCAGTCATTGACTGAGACAACTGATGTGACAATACTTACAATTTCCTTATTCCAGGTAAGAGTGGTCATGCCCAGATCTATACAGCTGTGTTTGTATGCGCAGTACTCTTATGTACTGCTCTTTTATATGGAGAGATTTATTTTTTTTCTCCTTTCCTGAAGCCATGCTTACTTGTTTAAATTATCAAGGAACTGGGAAAAAAAGAGATATTTTTGGGGTTACTCATCATCCTTTTTGTGAGACATTTTATTAGATATTTTCTTCTCATTTTGAGGGTGTTTTGGTTCTTTTTATATAGATATTTGTTATACTCTGTATGTGTCTTTAATTTTAAAGATCTAAATTAATAATTTAGAAAAAGATGTTTGATACTGTACTTTGTCCTCTGAAGAAGTAACAGCAATTAAATAACGTACACAGGATCCAAAATTCTTCTTGTTCCTGTTTGAGGCTTGATAATTTATCTTAAAGTGATTGTTAAATTAGTTTCTAACAGTGTACGGTGAAGCAGTTGGCTTGTATTATCAAAGGCTTTATTACAATTTCATGATCTATGCTGCAGGATGGCAGTAAGAGATGGCATTTGATAACTTGACTTTTTGTTTTTCTTTTCGCTTTTAGGAATTTCCATGGGATGCAGATCATACCACTGGACTGCATTTGGATAAATGATGAGCTCTGTGTTTTTCTCAGGAGTCTTCCAGCACATTTTCTAAATCACTTTTTAATGGTGTTCTAAGTGAGTTTATGAGAAACTAATGGTATTGGATCATGAGTGAAGAAAAAAGCTTTGGTGTATCCCAGAAAATGCTGTCTCCTTCAAGAAGTACTAGCAGCTGCTCCTCCAAGCAGGGAAGTCGGCAGGTAATACAAACTTTTTCAACCAAACTGAAAGCATTACTAAGATTGGCTGTTACTTTTGCTCTTGAATATTGGTGGATCTATTAAACTCTTTTCCTGTTTTTTGCTTGTTTTATTTCATCACTTCAGTTTTCCTTACTCTGTTTTATTTTTCTGTTGGTAGTGGCTTCTTGTTTTGAGTCAAGTGCAGTAAACATACATTACTGAATAGCAGGCACTTGTAAAACTAGAATGCTAACAGTTAATTTGAATTTCTATCACGTTGTATGTATGGTGTCTTTATAGTGACATACTGCTGCTGTAGTGGCTTGGTCTCAGTGGTCTGATCCTGAAAATCCAAGTCTTCCCTGTAAGATACCACTTTTGTGATAGAATATTGTGTAACTGCTCTGCTTATTTCAAGTTTCCAGGGAAAGGTGTGTGTACATGTGTAAAAGAGAACACATTTTTTCTGAAACTTGACATAGGTGAAAAAGTGCCTGTGCGTGTTGTTAGTTTCTGTAGAACTGTAGTTAAGAAAATAAGTAGTTGTGTAACGTGATGCATCAGGGTGCCTAATGCCAAGGATTCCTAGTTTTCTGCAGAGATGAGGCTATTCTTTAAACCTTACAGTCTAAAAAGACACGTCTATGAGTTTTTGCACCTGACAAGCGAGACTCCTGAAGACAGCTTTTGTTTGTGGGCAAGAAACATGGACCCGCAGCCACAGTGAGGATTAAGCTTAAACACGCAATCCATGCTTGCAAAATCCGGAGCAATATGCTCAACGTAAACTTTTATTTGTACAGATGCTGGCTTAGTGGAGCCCTTGAAGTTGCCTCAGGTTCAAATTTTAATTGGAACTGAGCTTCCCAATCCCCCAAAAGCTTTGGAGACCTCAGCTGTGTTTTGAAATAGCACCTGCTTTTCTGGGACTTCTGGCCCTGTACATACAATTGGCAATGCAGACAAATCTCTAAACGGTTTATACCTTTTAAAGTGCTGTGCTAGTTGAAATGTGGTGCATTTCTAGTATACTGAGCAAAGAATCCTTTCTTTTAAGGTGCCTTTTTTGTTTTCCTGCAATATTTTTTTTTTAATATCCTCAGCATGGGATTACATTTAAAAAGTGTAATTTAAAACATTTAGTATTGTCTGTTTCAACAGTTCATGAATATCAAGTATTATCCTGTAGTATTTAAATAATAAGATTTACATGAGCATGACTAAATCCACTGGTGTGTTACACAGCCAGTATAAGCAACCATACTTATGCAGAAGCAATTTCTCCGAGAACCTCACAGATCAAGTCTGCTGGCTAGCTCAGGCTTTTGGAACTATTATTTGTACTTATGCAGAAGCAATTTCTCCAAGAACCTCACAGATCAAGTCTGTTGGCTAGCTCAGGCTTTTGGAACTATTATTAGCGGGTCCCCTTTCTTATCCATTTTGTTCTCACCTGCTCTCTTTGGAGAAAAGGAATAATTCAGTAAGGCTTAATGTCATCTTGTCAATCCCCAATTTTTTAGTCTTTGATCCTTGTACAAAAATGCAAGGTGTACTGGACCTAGGGGAGAAATGCAACTTGGTGTTTTGCTTGTATTCCTGGTACATCCATGCTCATTCGTTTTAGTCAGGCAGACAGTAAATTGCCTCATATACCTATCAGGTCAAGCTAAATGGAGGTATTGATTGTTTCCCAATGTATATTGCAGGGTGATACAGTTCATAGAATCAGAGAATAGAATTGTAGAATGGTTAGGTTTTGAAAAGACCTTAAAGATCATTGAGTTCCAACCCCCTGCCGTAGGCGGGGACACCTCCCACTAGACCGGGTTGCACAAAGCCTCATCCAGTGCCTCATCACCCTCACAGTAAAAAATTTCTTCTTAATATCCAGTCTAAATCTACCCTCTTTCATATTATAACCATTACCCATTGTCCTATCACCACACTCCCTGATAAAAAGTGATGCCCCATCTCTCCTGTAGCCCCCTTCAGGTACTGGAAGGCTGCTACTAGGTCTCCTTGGAGCCTTCTCTTCTCCAGGCTGAACAACTCCAACTCTCTCAGCCTGTCCTCATAGGGGAGGTGCTCCAGCCCCCAATCATCTTCGTGGCTCCCCTCTGGACTCGCCCCAACAGGTCCAGGTCGATCATCTTTGTGGCTCCTCTCTGGACTCGCCCCAACAGGTCCAGGTCTTTTTTATGTTGGGGGCCACAGAGCTGGATGCAGTACTCCAGGTGGGGTCTCACGAGAGCAGAGTAGAGGGGGAGAATCACCTCCCTCAACCTGCTGCTAAATCTTCTTCTGATGCAGCCCAGCACACGGTTGGCTTTCTGGGCTGCATCAAAAGAAGCAGCCCAGAAAAGTTGATATTTCTTTGTGATAATATGGAGCACTGTGATAAGTATCTCCACTTTGATCAGTGTTTCAGTATTAATCTTTTCATGGTCAGTCATTACAATACCAAGTAAGTAACAGTGTACTTTTGCATCTAGGAAACCTCCACGGGTTGACTGATTGTCTGTGTTTGCAGGGGGTGGTAATGATGGAGGCAAGCCCCCAGAGGTTGGGGAGTTTGTGTAGCTTTTTATATGCTGGGAAATGATCACTAAGCAAGGCTAAAAGCTCTGCTTGCTTGCATTTTCTATATAGTCTGAAAATTTACAAAAGTTTTTCAGAAATCCCATGTGTTTTTTAAGGTTCCACTGGTCCTCTGATAATTTTATTTTTAAAGAGAGTCTTCTAATATTTGCAAGGACTACTTTAATACTTTCTCTGTTTCCTTCTTTACTGAGTGCAATAACTTTCTAGTTTGTTCTGTAACTTTGTTTCCATGTGCTGAAGTGATCTAGAGGTCTTCCTTCAAAGCAGCAAAATTTAGAAAGAAAATAAAAGAAATTAATTCTAAATTACAGTTGCTTTCAGCATTGTCAGTGTTTATGTGCATGGCTGTGTATTGCTGTTCCTTCCTTAATTCCACGATATTTTTGGTGTTTTTCACATGGCTGTTTTTTCACACTGAGGTTGTCTTGCAGTTTACGGAACAAACTGCTTTGTTGGGGAAAACAAAGACATAAATGTCCTGTGCAGTATGCACTCAGGGTATTTACTTGAAAATAACTTCTGTGGGTCATTTTCCCTTCCGTTTTTTAATTTATTTGTCAATTATAGTTTGTGATGGTAGCATGTTTCAGTGAATGTTTTCTTGAATAAACTCTTCTGGGCTGCATGAAAGAGGGACCTCTAGGCCTGACAGAGGCAGCACTCTGCAGGACTTATTGGCTTGGACACAGGAGTGCTTTGGGCGAGGAACAGATGTGTTCTCCCTGTTCCTGCTCTTCAAAAGGTTGTGATCTTACAGATTATAAAGCTCTTTACTTTGCTAGAGAGACCTTCTGTTTAGTGGTATAAACTGTTTAGTATAGCATGTATTACAAAATCTAACTTGTTGCTCTGGGCAGTGAGGATGTTGAGGTCTTTCTTGTGTCCTGTCCCTTTGCTCCCTCCTTCCCACAGAGGAAGTGGGAAGGATCAAGTAGTTTTGTTTATAATATTAATTGCTTCCTCTCTCACTCAGCCTCTTGTATTGCTAAATTGGAGCTTCACAATCCATCCCTACTAATATCTACCTACTCAAAGCTGACAAGACTGGGATGAGTGATGCCACTGTCTGAGAGTTATTTAATTTGCCCTTTTCATCTGCACGTTAGTTTAAATGACAGCACGCTAGGTATTCTATTAAGAAGACAGCAGCAATCTAAAGTTCTATAAATCTGTTAAAAATCTGCTATTCTAAAAAGCACCACTGATTTTTTTTTTTTTTTTTTTTGCAAAGCCCTGGTAGAAGAGTACAATGTAACACTGTTACTGACACTTCTTTATTAATAAACTCATGAAGGTTTAAATAGTTTTGCTATATGCTGCGCAGATTGGGGAATGAAGTGCTATGATTTTGATCTTCTTCCCTTCATCTTCCAGCTCCATGGAGGACTTCTTAATCTCTTCTCAAACACTTGCGTCCCTCTCAGGGACCTTCAGAGCTAGGCTCCTTGCTCAAAGGTTGATGACAGATCTGCCTGACAAGTGCTTTTTCCTGTGCTGCTGGTCTGGTACAGCAGTTCTTTTAATCTGGTTAAGTAGAAAGAAATTCTGAAATGCACAATGGAAGAAGGGATTTGGACAGTTCATTTGTTTCTCCCCAAATTAATGGGATCTGAGTTTTGGGGGTCCCTGATTTCCTAGACACAGACACTGTTGCAGGTACACACTAGCACCAGATAATAGGAAGCTACCTGAGACTGGAACGTGAAACCCTTGTACTACAAGTTAGCTGTGCCCACTAAAATTTAGTTATTCCTCCCTGCAGAGCAGTATGTCAGTGGTGTAGAGCATAAGTAGAGTCCTGTGATGCAGAAGATGGGCTGCTGTGCCAAAAAAGAGTTGACTTCAGCAGGGCTGTAGGACTTGGAGAGGGCTACACCTTCCTCTGCTAAACTTGGTGCCCTTTTTCTGCCAAATAAAACGCATTTACAGTGTGAACAGAAGATGCTAACAGTTAATTCTGTTCCACTAAGTTCATCTTCACCTTGAAGCCCCTCAGCAGGTGGGAGGCTACTGCCACATCCCACCTCTCTGCTCTTTTCTGCTCCTTCAGTTGTGGAAAGGGATCTTTTCCACAAAGTGACAACTCAAACTGTATTTTGTGAGGAAGGAAAACTGATGTTGATCTTCTTTAAATATAAATTGACCTGTGATCAAAAGAAGATATATTGTGGTAGTTATTTTTAAGTCTAGTATGTTAACTAACTTTTAAAATAGATTCAGTAGGGAAAAGCTTTATGCCAGGAATTCTGCTTAAAAAAACTCATGTTCTAAAAAAGAAAATTAAATAATTTCTGCCAATTTTATGAACTGTAACAAATGCTTTAGCTGCAGCTAATGCCAACTCTTATCCTTCACAAAGTGGATTTCTATTTTTGGCACTTTAAAATATTCAGTACAACTGACTGCATTTTACACTGGAAGAGTCTGGCACTGTCATCGTGTTTCATTCAGTGAGCTGCAAGTGCAAGCATCAGTCCAAGAGCCGTTCAAACTAATTACTTCTTTCTTTGTCCCAAAATAATTCACCTTGAGGAGCTGTATGATAAAAAATATTGCAGAAGATGAGGAGGCTTTTATTGTATTAAATAAAGAAAATTGCTACAATTACCTAATGACAGACTTATCTCTGAAAACCAAAGTGAATGGGTTTTTTTCTCAGACATAGAGCAGGTATGAGCCAAGTAGCAACTACAGGGTGATTTTTCCAGTGCTGGTCTGAAATGAGCACCTCTGGACCTGAGGGAAGTAAAGAGTATGTTCCTTCCTCAGCCTCAAGTAAAATTTCTGCCTGGGCATCAAATGCAGCATTGATCATTTTGTGCAGATGTTGGCCCATAACAGTACAAACTCTTTTGTAGTGTCCTAACCTTGAGACACTACCAATGGGGAGCAATGGGGAGGTGTGGTAGTTGTTTTGGGTTTTTTTTGTTTGTTTGTTTTTGTTTTTGTGGTTTTTTGTTGTTTTTTTTTTTTAAACTCACTGGTTTGGGGGTATCTCTTTCAGTTCCCTTTTGTGGGCTACGAATCAGCAAAATGGAGCATAATCTGATTGCTTCCAGTAGCTTTCAGGAAATCCTGTATCTCCAATTTTCTCCTCTGCTGTCTCAGACAGATGAGAACAGATGATAACTGACCAGCCTGATTCATTTGCCTTCATTTTAGAGAGTAAGCAGTTTTCTTTCACTTCTGCAGCTGCTCCCAGCAATAGCCAGCTGATGCTTTTTCCTCATTAAATGATATGTCAGATCCTCTCACAAAACAAAATACTAATCAAGATCCTCTAGGGTTTGAGTCAAGAGCGAATGGATCCAATACCAGTCCCAGCAGCAGTGTTTTGACAAATGTGGGAGTTCAGGTGGAAAGGTTGGAGTCTTCTTGGTGTTTGTATGTGGAAGAGGACCAGATGCTGTTATTGCGGCCTTGCACCTTGCATGTATCTAGCAGTTCCCCAGCTGGTAATTCTCTGAGCTATTCCTTGCCTTTCCTTAGGTAGCTTAGTTGATTTGTCTTGTGCTTTTAAAAGGATCCATTTCTAATTCAACTGAAGCTACCTTTGCAACTGGAGTGTGAGGTTCCCAGGGCAGAAATGTGAGTAGAAGACTTGCCTTCACCACCTGAGATGTGGCAGACTGCAGGGCCTGCTTGATGGGAACAAGTGCTCCCACTTCAGCTTGTCTTCCAATTTTCAGTTTTTAATTGTGAAGGCAATTTCTTGGCCACCTAGCTGATGTGAAGAACAGTGAGAAACGTGGCTCTCCTCCAGGAACATGGGAGACACCTTGTGTCTGAACTGCAGGAGAGGCCCAGACAAAATTGGAGGTGTAATGATAGATCGACAGTGTAAAGATAGATCGAAGGTTAGATTTCAACATCATTTGGGTTTTTTTTTTACTTATAGCCTTCTTCCTTTTGAATCTCTTGTAACAGTTCTGTTCTTTGGAAAGAAATAAGATCTACATTTGGATTTTTTGTTTAAGCAGGACAGCTGGGAAATTGTAGAAGGACTTCGGGGAGCAATGAATTGTACCCAGGAGCCACAGAAGCAGGAGGGCTACTTGCTGAAAAAGAGGAAATGGCCTTTGAAGGGCTGGCACAAGGTAGGAAAGGAATGTGTACCTGAAAGCCTGATGCCATGTGAGTGGGACTTGCTTGGTGTGGCTTTGTGGCAAAAAAGGCTTAGTTAAGAGCAGAGAAAGTGTTCTCCAAAGAAATGTGGGAGGTGGTGGTTTTTTGTTTGAGTTTTTCTTGTGTGTTCTGTTTGTTTTAATTATCTGCATTTCTGGTTACAGAGATACTTCTTTTTGGACAGAGGGATTTTGAAGTATTCGAAATGCCAAGCTGATGTAAGTGCTCTGAAACCCTTTAAGGCCATTATAAGGTAACAACCCTATTTTATCCAAAATAACGATAATTCCATATTGTTGGCAATGGGAAATAAGAGTTTTGGCAGTTTAAGTGGGTTCAAGGGGGGAAGATGATGATTTCAGGAGGTAATGTCTATCCTTTTCTTTGATTCTGGAGTGATTGTATTCTTTTTACTTTTTTGCAGATAGAGAGAGGGAAGCTTCATGGCTGTATTGATGTTGGACTTTCTGTCATGTCTGTAAAGAAATCAACAAAATGTATAGATTTGGATACAGAAGAGCAGATATACCACCTGAAGGTAGGTCTTCAAGATTGTTATAACCTTGCTCCCAAAATAATAACATTAGCTGTGTATGGTGGAGACCTTATGGTTTTGTTTTTTTTTTTAATAATAAGAGGTCTGTTACATTAGCTTACTTTTTAGTTTCAGCAGACTAGTTTACACTTTATAACTTGAGAGGCCTTATTGTATGGCTCTAGAGTCAGTAACCCTGTTCTGAATAGAAATTTCAAAGATGCATGTTTAGCAGCACTCTTTTCACCTAGCACTTTTTTCAGCAAAGGGTATGCACTTATTGCACAAGTGCTTTTATTTTCAGTAGTTGTATCTTGCTCTTTATCTTATCTGTAGGAAGTATTTTCCACAGTCAAATGTGTAGGTTTATCTGTCATTGTGGAATAAATTGTTTTAAAATACATCACCAAAATCAAATTTCTATTTGTGGTTAGTTAAAACTTGACTAAACCTTAAAAATTACAATTAAGAAATGACAAATTAAATGGTTTTAATTTTTTTTTTTTGTCTAGGAGTTTCTAAGTACTGTATTCTGCATTGGAAGTCATAACTATACTAATTGAATTTTCTCTCTTTTTGACTTTATAGTGTGATAAATTTTCTATCGTGCTGAAGCTCATACAGTATGCATTTTAGTAGGAGCATCATTAGAAAAACTTTCCTGATATTTTGCCAGTAAAGGTCAGCCAGGCTAGCAGTCTAATGAGCACAAGATACCTTAGTTTCTTTGTTAGTAATTTTGAATTTGAATGTTATAAAACCTGAATTTTTGTGCAGGTGAAATCTCAGGAGCTGTTCGATGAATGGGTAGCAAAACTTCGTCATCACAGAATGTACCGTCAGAATGAAATCTCCATGTTTCCTCATGATGTCAATCTTTTCTTCCCTGGGTCTACTACTGCAGACTCTGTCCCTGGTTTCTGTGATTCTGCTCTGGGTAGAAAGGTAATAGTTATGGTTTATAAATAATGTGCTTTCATCAGGGACTAAATTAGTCTGATTTGTTTTTATTAAGTAAAGAGCGTAACGCAAGTTTGTGATGGGCTTTAAGTTATGATCTAAAATGTCAAGAGGAAAATTATATTATTTATTGATTTACTCCTAAGCAGTTTTCTCTATGATGCTGTTAAATTCTATAATATTGTCTCATTGTTTTAATGCAGTAAATCATATTTTCATTATGACTTTTAAAACTACATATTGAGTTATAAACCTCATAATTTTTGAAACATATCTCCGTATTTGTATGATATGTGCTGGTGAATATTAGTCTGGGTCACAGAAGAGCACTCAGCTAGATTTTTTTTTTTTCCCTTATTTATCCTTTCACTAGTAAAACCTCTCCCCTTTTACGTTAAGGAATCTGACTGAATTTATCTAAGCAGTATGTAAGAATTATCCAAGAGCCATCACCTGTGGCCACCATTTATATTTTTAACTGAGGTAGAAGCACTATTCAAACCCATCCAAGGACTATGCTGTGAGGTGGGTATGGGGTCTGGATGGGTCCAGCTGGCAGTGTACTTCTCTTTAGGTAAAGTCTGTGCCTGTTAGTTTCACAAATGATCTGACAAATGCTCAGTCTGACACCAGAACTGACCTCTTTGATACAGTCTCACAGAAGAGTGATTGTGTTCTGTGCCTGAACATAACCTCTGTGCCTTCAGCAGTCTGCACATTCACCCAATGAAGCTCTTCTGCTCCAGTTTAGAACCAGTGATCTCTTTTGAGAATAATGTCTTTTTTAGTAATATTGTGTTACTTACTACAACTGAAACAGTTCTCTGTTTCTGACAACTCCAGAGTGTCTCCTAGGCAGCAATCACCTCCTTGGTGTCCTCTTGTCTGAGGTTTTCTTTTCCCTGGCCATATTACTGTATGATCTGTGGGGGCTTGTTCCCCAGTACCTGCAGTTCATCTCTTTGGTAGGACTACCCTGTAACTATGTATGAGTTTTACCGAACACAAACATGTGCCTGAAGACCTTTTTGCTGTGCGAGAAGGCAGGTGAAAGAACAGTAACTCACCCTGCAGTAACGGGGCTCTTCTGCAAAGAGCTGTCTGTGTGCTTTCTGTGGTGCCAGCACCTTTGTGGCTCTGACAGCCTGCTCTTCTGAGGTTGTGTCTGCAAGGAAATGGCAAACCTCCTGTGGCTATTTAGTACTTTTCTCCAAAAAGACACCAGGGTGAGATGGGTTTGCCCTTGGCTGGGGGCCAAACCACACACCCACTCACCCAATCCTTGCCCCCCACCCCCCAGGACAGGGGAGAGAATTAAAGGAGTAAAGGGGAAAAAAGGACTCGTGGGTTGAGATAAGGACAATTTAATAACTAAACTACAATAATATTGAAAATAATACTATATACAGATATACAAATGAGTGATACACAGTGATACTGCCCCCCCACCCGATGACCAAGGCTCAGCCTCTTCCCGGCTAATGATCCCGGAGCAGGGAGAGTCCCAAAACCACACTCACAGAACAGAGATAACAGTCAAAGCGTCCCAGACCGAGAGCTGACCGGGGTGGCAGGGGGAAGGCCTTGGGAGAGCGACCGCCTGGAGCGAGATGACCCGGAGCAAAAGAGATCTGGAACCAAAAGGGACGATCTTCCAGAGGGTCCTCACCTGTATACTGGGCATGACGTGTATGTTATGGAATAGATTATTGGCCATGCTGGGTCTCATTCCTGAACCTAAGATCAAATCCTGGGCTAGTAACTGGGGCTGTGCTCCCTCCCAGCTTCTCCTGTTTGCAGACAGCCAGAGAAGCTGAAAGACCTTGGCAGCCGCGTAAACATCACTTTTTATCAGCTTTCTTCTGAGCACAAATCCAAAACACAGCCTCTTGCTAGCTATTATGAAGAAAGTTAACTCTGTCTCTGCTTAACCCAGGACACAGGGATAGAAGGGGAGAAGACTGTCAAGGGCAAAAGTGGAACATTGCAAAGCCAATTATATATCTATGCCTATACTAAAAAAAAAATAAAATCCATGTGACCAATGTATCTAAAAATCTATGCTCACTGTCGGGAAACTAACCGTGTCTTCTTTGTCATGAAACATTTTAATTCACTTCTAATTTAATCCAGATTTGCACTGCAAAGAAGCCCTACTTATTTTCATGTGAAAAATAGAAAGGGATAGTTCTTAAGCTGCAGTTAATCACCTTAGCTCTGCTGAAGCTAAGTGGAAGTTTGCCAATTTACACCAGCCCTAGCTTGATGTTACTTGATATCAATCCAGCAGTTAGATTATTTTGAGAAAAATACATTGAATGAACTTTACATTGCATTTTATTTGCTTTTAGAAACACCTGATCAGTTTTCACTTTTGTTGTTGTTGAGAGGCAGGTGTATGTAATTATATATGTTTATGTGGAATGCTTGGATTCTAAAGCTAAGCCATGATAATCAAAAGCAAAACTGTGCTAACTGGTGCTACACAAATTCTCTTGTCTGCTTCTTGGCAATGCCTAGTTCCTTCTTCCCTCCTGCTCATGCCCCTCGTGTATATGAGTTCTGGAAAAGTTGGTTATATGAGATAGATTTATGAAGAGATAAGTGTGGGATGTGTTCACAAAATGCCAGTACAATTGCTCATCTTTAAATTCAGTTTACTTGTGCTTTTAAAGGTGCTCAGATTGTTATTGGGTATACATGTAGAGATGACTAAAGCCTGCACAGCTTTATGTGGGAATAAAACAGCTAAACTACACAGATTAATTTAAAAATAAATGTGCTTATTGACACCTATTACTGTTGCATACTGACTATATAAATTGACACAGTACTGAATGACATCACAGGGACAGTGCATTTTATTTTATTCTGCAACACAAGTTGGAACTTATATTGTAAATTTAAAAAGACCATTTAAGGAAACTGCAACTGACTGAGATGTAGATGATGTTTCCTATTAATAGATTTAAAACTAGTACTCCCTGAGTTTTGATAGAAGGTGAGTGGGAGGTAGCAAAGTTTGTAAAGTGTATGCTTCAGAGAAGAGCCAAACAATGTAGTTACCTTTTGTCATAACCAGTGAAGTGGTCATGTAATGGCACTTAAGACGAAACATTTTAAAACTGATGTTGACAAAGCATGTAATTTGTGGAACTACCTGAAATAGATATTTTTAAAGCTGAAAGGTTTAGCAGGGTCTAGAAATAATCAGGCATTTGAATAGCTATTATTTGTAGTGATGTTAGAGAAGAAAACAGCATTATAGGCCACAATCCACTGGTAATAGTATTGGGCAAAGACTTCTTCCTATTGGAAACTACTTAGCTATACTGCTCAGTTAGCTCTTACTAATTTCCAGCATCTCCTGAAGCATCTGATAGTGGGCACTGCTGAAAATGAGGTGAATTTGAAAATCACTACTGAGACATTGTAAAAGGGTAGTATTTACCCAGATGAGGGATATGGTCACATGTATTAAGGTCTGTCAAGCCAAATCCGTGCTGAAGTCATGCAACCTTGAGTAACATTTTAAAATAACATCTGCTTTCTTCACTGAAAAACAGCTTTAACAAATACGCACATTACATTTAAGTTACTTTTAGGGCTTCTTTGGGGAGCATGGAGAAGGAACAGAATGTCCACTTTTAGCCATGTTATGGTGCTTTAATTGTATGAAGTTGACTTATCTTATGCAGAACTTTGCCCTTCCTCAAAATTTATTATTGCTACTGCTTGTGGACAGCAGTTGTGTTAGATATCCTGATATTATGCTCAGTGACTGCACGTATAGTTTAGTTCATCTACCTTTTTTTTCCTCCATGTTATTGATTCCTTCAGTCCTTGTCCCCAGTCACAGACCTCAAGTGTTGGTTGTCAAAATTTGTGCATACAACATTAAAATATTGTTTGTTAATAATTCACTTGTTCTTCTTTGGAACAGGCAGGCAGCTTGACCAAACAGAGTTCATTGTCAGCTGGAGGTAACTTGTCATTTTCCTTTTCGAGTAATGAATCCAGAATTTCATCTTGGCTACAGTCTTCTGAAGACATGGAAAAATGCTCAAGAGGTAATATTTGAAGGAAGTTGAAAGTAGCCTAATATTTCCCCTAGTTTTTCTTGACAACAAGAGTACTATACTATAACTAGTCATTACAGTAAAGAGTTTTCTCTGAAACTGGACAGAGGAAAGGGGTGGTTGTTGATTAAATAGCTACTTGTTTTCAAAAGGACGAGTGATTTTGGATGTGGGGGTATCAACTGTGGGCACCTCTTCAAGGAACCTATATATTTCAGTATGTTTTCTTTTATATATGAAGGTCACCTCCAGTTGTAAGATTTGAACTTTCTTAAGCTGAGTATTCAAAAAAGGGAAGCATCCAAAATTTATTCATTTAAAAAGCACTAGATCTTTGTACTTCAAAGTCACCTTCTGCTTTCATGCTGCTTTCCTAAGAGCATGAAGATTTTTCTCATGTTGGCAGTGTCTGTGTGATACTTCTTTGGTAAAGTTCTACCTACCAGTGAGCTTCAGCTCTAATGTAGAGGAGCCTCATCTCTAGCTCTGAATGTACAATTCAGTCTTGATGCTTATGGCATTGTTACCCTCACCGTGAGGAGCTCTGACTAGTCCCAAACTGCAATTCTCATTCTTCTGCAGCCAACTAGGATGAAATATCATTGTCATTATACACACCATATAGATGCATTTCAGTAATTTGAATTTGAAGATAGAAGGATACACCCTTTTTATCTAGTTGTCCAGTAACGTGCTTTTAGTCAATGAATAACTTAAGCTAGCTACAATCAAAATAAGACTAACCTACATAGAAAAAAAGCTTTCAGTGTGTATCTTACTTTATGGCAACTGAAAATAATCTCTTGTTCAAAACAGACCTCTCCAACTGTCACGCACATTTACTGGAAATGAACCAGCTGTTACAGAGCATGGATGTTCTTCACAGGACATATTCAGCACCTGCTATAAATGCTATGCAGGTTTGTTGTTTAAAAAAGCAAAACAAAAAAATATTTTCCCTTGCAATTCCAAAAAAACCCCACAAATCCTAAAGGATCAAGGTATTTCTTCGTATCTCTGATAGTTTTGTGTCAGTCTATATTACTTTTGTCCTATGTGTTGTTAAAAGGTTGGACCTTTTGAAAGCCCAAAGAAGGAAAAGAGAACACACAGGAGGTGGCGATCCAGAGTTGTTGGGAAAGAGGCTAAAGGAATGTTACAGGTAACTTCAGTTGTTTCAGTGCCCATCTTTCTCCAAATATTATTGATCACTTCTTGGTGTAGCCAGTTCAGGAAATATGAATCCTTTCTAAGTAGTCTCCTGTGCTAGTTCATTTTAAGTGGTAATATATCAGACAAAGCACACACATGTTGTCATTGATATCTGCAATAGTTACCCATGTTTTCAATCTGTCTCCAGTCTGGGCGTTTGTGGGATTTTTCTATCAATACAGATTTTTGCAAATTCTCCAGGTAGTTTTGTACACATTTGCATCAAGAGGACATGTGATTAGGTGCTTCTAAGAGGGGAAAAATAGTATAGCATCTGTTAAAGCTCTCAATGGGCTTGTTTCTTGGAGTTTTGTCAGATCTCCAATTATTATATCTTGGGCAAAATTATATATATGGTTTCATTTGCCAGGTGTTAGCCATCCCAAGCCTATTGGTAATTGACAGTAGTTTTTCCATTTTTGGTGTCTCCAACATGTAACCCAGGTGGGTACAATAAAATGAAATTTTCTTTACAGTTTGTAAAAACATCAAAAATGGCTATCCTCCTTACAGGTGCCTTCAGTATTTTCTGCCCCTATGAGACTGCATGCTTCCAATCCGAATTTATCTACAATAGATTTTGTAGAGGAGAAAAATTACTCCGATGGCTCTGAAACATCATCAGACTTTACTAAAATGCAAGAGGACTTATTTCACATTGCACATAAAGGTAAATTAAATTGTCTTTTATACGTTGTTTTATATCACCACAATTTAAATAATGACCTGTCTTCTGAGAATGCTTCCTGTTTAATGTTTAGAAAAAGCAGTAAACATTCTCCCTTCCTTTAATTCCCTTGAGGAACTGCAAATACTGACATCTTGAGTAATTTGAAAAAAGTAGCTTAATCATCAAATTTTTTAATTTTTTATTTATTAAAGGACAGCCCTTTGTTTTCTTTGTTTTATGTGCTAAAAACCTAGGTTGTGGTTTTTTTGTCAAAAGGTAAAAATCTTAAAATCAGTTGCTATAAACACAACAGCAGATTATACTCTTTTGTGTTTGCATGCATATGCGTGTATATGAGCACATGTATGTTTGTATATTTGGTGCACTTCACTGTATTTCAGAGTCAACGTTTGTTGGTGATGCAAGGGTTGCTATGGTAGTAACCTATTTTTAGTGAATACAGAAGAGTAAAATCATGTAAAAGCAGCCAGAGGGGTAGCTTGACTAGAAATGTTTCTTCTCTCAACATCATTTTTCATTAGCTGTGCTTTGCTCCATCACCCTTGCACCAGAAGCATTTTTATTGCTTAAGTGAAGTTGGTGACAAAGACACTTAAGCATTCATATCTGAAAGACTTTTGGAAGTATTGTCTTTGTCCCCTTTTGCACAAAATAATGGTTGATGTTATCAATAAGCATTCTTTGCTTGTTTTTCCCCTCTGGTGCTGATGTATCGTGATTACGTTATGTAAGGAATGTATCTAAGTAGTAAACTTCATAAAGTCAATTCTAGTCAAAACTGTTTTCCAAAAAGAGGAAATAAGTGGGGGTGGGGCAGAGTTGGAAAAGTTGCTATTAAGCAGAGCAAAGAAATCACCTACTCAAGGTCATCTTACCTGAAATGTCCATGTCAGAAATTTTGTTTAGATTGATTCATGCATTTGAGGGGGCAATTGACTCGGTACTATTTAATACAGTATTTTATTAAGAGTACAAAGAATTTTTTTTTCCAGAGTTGCTTTATACCACACCCTTTCCAAGAAAGAGTAGTGAAGAAAACTTTTGCTTTAGATTTTGATACAAATGAAATGTAGCATTAGTACTTTAGCATGTAATACTGCTTGAAGTTTTAGTATACAACTTATTAAATTACATTTAAGGTCACTGAAGATTCTGGTCATGTCATCCATATACGAAAAGTGAACAAAATAGGTCATAGTGGATATATGTTCCTCCTCACCTCCTGTGCTACTGTTCAAGATTTTTTTCAAATAGGTTAAGCATGAGAATTACATTTGGTAATGGTTTGCAGTGTTGAAATACACCTTAAGAATGTTTTCTTAGAGTAAATTAGGTTGCATCAAATATTCAATAAAGTGATGATGATTCAGGTTAACTTGAAGTGGATGATTAGAAGAGAGAGGTATCTGAGATTTCTTGTTCTTTGCCCTTTCCTTGCATCTATGCTCAGATTATCTATTTACAGGGAAATGGAGATATAGACATTTTTGCATTGGCAGCTCTCATGACTATTACAAGGCTGGATTAGGCCCTCAGAAATCCTCTAATTCACCAGTTAATAAATGTTGAAATGTTGAAATCCCACATACATAAAGAGTACTTGAATAAATTTTTATTCCTTGTGTTTAAAGAAAAGATTAAATGTCTTGAATGTAAAAAAATAAGGAAGGTGCGTTTCCCCTTTAAAAACCTAGTGATTTTAAAATTGCATGATCTGTTGTCTGATTTAAATGTTTCAGGCTGGTGATACTGGCTCAGGAAGGAGTAGAAGTAGCAATGTAACATGCACAACATTCAGGACCTGACCCTTTGAGTCACTAAATCATCTAACAAGCTGAAACTTCTTTATCCCAAAAAGAGACAACAAAACTCGACACCACAGTTGACTTGCTTGTGGGGAAACTACTAACCCTATAGCTGTGGCACAGTATGTGTTATAGCTGCTTTTTTGATTTTGTTTTTTCTTCCCTCTTTTTTTCCTCCCCCACTGGAATTCTTAAAGGAATGTGGAATAGAGTCATGACCATCTGAAGATTCAAGCTAATTGGGGAACAAAAGCAAGTGAAGAGCAGATGTGGTTAGTTAGCTTTGTCACAAATCTGTCACAATTAATCAGAGTAATTTTGACTGCGGCTAACATAGTCAACATGGTAGCATCAACATAAACATTTCTCCTACTAAAAAATGTACCCTATAACTTTGATTAATATTACTTGTTTTTAGTAACCCACCTGGATCTCTTAACCCAAATTCTTGTTTGTCACCATAAATGATGTTTCACTGAAGTTTTACATAATTGGTGTGTATACAATTGGTAGGTGTTTTTAACTGTCACTTTTTACGAAATGGTTCTAGTTTACTTCACCTTGAGGTCAGCTTTCAGCACCATATCTACAGAGAAAGAAAAGCTGAAGCAGATGCTGGAGCATGATGCATCCTCATCTCCATCTGCACAAATAGTTGGCTTGAAGAATGCCCTGACATCCGTAAGTGACATGCTGAAGTTCAGCAAGTTTCATTGTTATCAGATACTACTTTTAAATTCTATAATAGTTAATTTCTGTTTCTCTAGTGTGTGTTCTGTGCTAGAATTTGCAGTATTGAAACATAGTAAGTTATCATATATGGTGTTTTTCAAAGACTCCTTCCTAAATGTTAAAGGTACTGTGAAGTCACTGAAGTTTGATAGATTGATTTAGGTATATAGAATAATCTGTATCATTTTGATGTTAAGAATCAGAGGGCTGCTCTGTGATGATGAGTCTACTTTCTCTTGAAATATACACTGCTTAATCACTCCATTCTGGGAGGTTGCAGGTTTCCTCTTCCTTTTCCTAAACAGTACTCAAGTATTGGCTGTATGACTTGGCATAAAATAAAGGTGAGAATGGCTGAAAGCACTCAGCTGTCCCTTCTCATGCACTAGAGCTTCACCATGCTGCACCAAGACACTGCAAAGCAAATTCAAGTACAACTTGTTTATATTGACTTCCAAACTTAATTATCTGTTAGTCATCTAAAAGCACCAATGGAGCTGTTAAGGCAGAGTTCTAAATGACAAAAGATCGTGCTCTTTAAAAAGGTGGGGGTTTTTGGTTCGTGCGCTTTTTGTAAACGGTTGGGACCAGAACTATCAGGCTGGTAATGTCTGAATGTGTCAACAAACAGTGATCTGATTTCAGATCAATAAGGGCCATCATTACCGTGGTCTTAAAATTTCAGTGTTTGTTGCAAATTCCTCATCAGAGGCAGGGGAGGGTATCTGGCGTTGATAAATGTGATATAGATCATCCTAGAATTATTTCAGTATGAAAAATTGGCTTTGCTTTACAAAAGCTGCATATGGTTATAGTTTTTTAAGCATACAACATGCCTCTTTGCCTAGAGGCTGTGATGTCTTCACAGTATTTAGAGAAAGCTGAAACCTGTTGCATAATAACTATACTCACTCATTTGCACTTCTCTGTTTTGGGCTTTCAGATGTTCCACTTCTGATATTTGAATAGGTGACCTTTTTTTTCCAGTGTTATTTGCCTACCATTTTAAATATGTCTATAGATATATAAGATATAAAATCTATTTGAAAATTTCTGAACTCAGGGAACACTTGGCTTAGCATGAATTTATTTTTTTTTCTGAGCAATGAAATTCTGTTGTCCATCTTCATCCTCTAAATGTCTTTTAAAAGTCATGCTTTTAGGTCTTATCTGATACTTAATAAGCCTTTTGTAGCCCATCCAGAAGTCATCTGTGAACCTTGACAGTTTCAGAAGAGGTTAACACCTGTGAGAGCTATTCTTAGCCTGCAGAGCTCTAAAGTCATGATGCCAATAGAAATTTTCTTATCCTATACAGCACAGATCGTGGAGGAAAAATAAATGTTTCCTTTGAAGATGTATGGAAGCACAGATATGATAAACTTGATGTATTTCTAAGACTTCCTTGCAAGAGTGTCCTGTGTTGATGACTTTGACTTAAGTGTTTGTTGTTCATTTCAGTTTGTTTTCTGTATGTGAGGAACAAAAAATCAGACTCACAGGTTGAAAGCTATCAAACATGTCTGTTTTGCTCTCATCAGCCTGGCAGGGGAAGAAAAGTGAACAGATTTAAAGTGGATAAAACACCACAAAATTAGTATCTCTGCCTCTGCTTCTCCCTCATTAAGATAGTATACATGACCTATTCACAGTCTAAGAAAAGCAAATACAGAATAGGGAAAAGTACAATATTTTTATTTTGGGGGCAGGAAGAAGACAATAGAAGGAAGAAAACACATTGTAGCAAATAATGAAAATTGGAAGATGCTATTACAGGAAAACTGTCTAAATCATTTTTTGCACTTATTTGATTTTGTGGGTATAATGCAATGTCCATTTGAACACTTGATACAGAAGTGATACGGGATTGTATGGAGAATTCAGACCCTACACATGTAAAGCCAGAAATTACTTTCTCCCCTCCATCATCACTGACCTTACTGTCTTTCATGCCCCCAAGACTATTTCCAACAAAAATTACTGTTGAAATTAGAAGCATTTGTGGGACAAAGCGAACGTGTAAACAGCAGAGTTCTCCACATCATCGTATTGGTTCAGATCACTAAAATGGGCAGTAAGTCTTCAGTATTATTCCAAAGTTAGTAGCACTTTTTTTTTTTTGAGTTATTTTCATTCCAGGCAGGGTTGCATTCTCTTCCTACAAGTCTACTCTGACGGACATCTGTCCATCAGATGCACCCAGCATGAGTAAATGATGTGTAACAAACATGAGTTTGCAGTAGAGGCTTTTTATTTTGATCATTGCCATTATAAGCTGATAGGACACAAATTGTACTTGTACCTGTCAGTATTTAAGTCTTATTTCTTATTAAGTCAGTGAAGGCAAATGAAACTGTCTGTATACCAGGCTCATGGGAAAATCAAATGGTTTTGGATGGGGCAAGAGTAAGAATTAATGTTGAGAGAGGTGAGTCTGGAGATAAGGGTGAAGGAAGGGAGCTTGTAAACCAAAAAAAAAAGCATAAAATTCATTTATAACTTAAAGTAGCTTGCAAAACCTGGTAACTTGAAATATCCTGCCAGCTTTGGCTTTTTTTTTCTCCATTTATGTTACTCTTCCCTCACACTGAACAAAAACTTTTAATTTGAGAGATAAGGAACAAGGGTTGAAGTGTTTATAATAAATGATTTGCTGAACCAGTAAAAAAATCATATGGTGGCGGTGTTTTATACAGCACTTTGAATACTCTTCACCCCTTTTTACACAATAAAGCCACGCTCAAGTTAGTTGAGAGAACTTTATATCCCCAATATTTTTGTTAAATATTCCAGGCAATAGCACAAAACACAGACCTTAAAGACCGGTTACGCAGAATACATGCCGAATCTATGATCCTTGATTCAGCATCTAATGCAAAATCAAGTCCAGATTTGGTGAAGGTGGGTATGGATTTCCTCTTTCAGCGATGTCTGTTCATCAAGCCTCCTACATCTAGATAGTGCTGCATAGCTGCATCTTGTCCTGTTCTTCATGTCTTCCCTATGGCATATTGTATTAGTAAAATGAGTCTGCTTTCATGGTTATGAGCCATTTTGGATGATGCATTGTGTAATATTTGTTTTCAAAGACTTTTGTGAGCAGTTTTCCTGAGCACACTTCCATTGCTTTTTGCCACTGGTTCCTGGTGTTTCCCTTGCCTCCTGCCCGCTTTGCATTCAGCATGAACAGAGCTGATGCCTTGTTACGCTCATGCTGCTGTTTCTCTCCCCCTTATTACTTTCAAGTTCTGTAGTTCTTTCTGTCGCCTGTCTGAGTATTGTAAGCACAGAATGCTGGCTACCAGTGTGGCTCATGTAAGGTTTAGAACAATCAGACGTTTCCATGAAAGAATCAAAGAAATTAGATGTACAGCAGTTTTTTCGGCCACTTGGTTTTATTTGTGTGAAGACAAGGAGTCTTCTACAGGTCCAGTTAGCCAGTTTGAGACGTACTGATGTTCACACGGTTTTTTTGGCTTGCTGCAGAATACATGTGAATATTGCATATTTATAGGTCATGGGATCTAGCATTTAATGGCACTAGTGAGGGAAGCAAGAACTGAGTTATTTCTGATGGATTTTCCTAAATGTTAACTCAAACAGAAACTTCTGCTGTCCTTGTATAAATATTTCATTAGAACTTGAGAGGATGTAATGCTAGGGGTTTTATATAACTTATTATTTCATTTTATTTTTATGGACAGTTTAGTCATTCTGTCTGTTATGGTTTATTTCTGTTTTAGTAAAGCTGTGTTTTGGTCATGTTTAGCTGTTCAGGTTTTTTTTTGCCTAATTCTAATGCCTTTTGTTTTAATCCCATGCGAATTTGAACAGCACTTAAACTGCTATCCAGACAAGCATTAATGCCTTGTTTTTTAATTTCAGGAGTTCTTTATTTTCTTATTTAGTGGAGGTCCTTGCAATGACCATGGATTATTTCTGAAACTTGTTCTATGCACTATATATACACACACGCATGAGAAAAATAGCTTTCAAAAGGTCCTGTAGAGGTTTCAATCACAAATTCCCTTTGGCATGGTTTGGGATAGAACTTGAGGACAAAATCACTTATATTGGAGAAGTTTCATTTTAGATTTGTCTGAGGACTATGATACAGTAGTGCTGCTGTGAGGAAGATGGGACCACTGCACAAGGCTTAGCTCTAAGTGATAGATCAGGTGCTATGACAGACCTGTGAAAATTGAAGCAGTATAAACTAGTATCTCAAGCCTTTGCACAAGGTAAAAGTTTAGTTTGTCTATTGGGCAGTTTACATTGTAGTTTATCATGCCAGAGTGGGAACATGAAAGAAGACAACTTGAAACTCTTATGGGATAGATATGAAAACCTGCTGTTGGTTTGTTGGTTTGGTTTTTTTTTTTTTGGGCGGGGGGGGGGGGGTTTTTGTTTTGGGTTTGTTTTTTTTTAAACTTGTAGACTAGTGTACTGCCTTCCCACAGGAGACACAATGTTGAGGTTTCCTCTTGTCTTGCTGCTGTATCAGAAGTAATTTTTTAAGTCTTTTGTATGGTAACAGTTTGGTTTGTTGCCATGTCACCATTATCAGCACATACTGAATAACATTCCATACTATAGTAAAATCTACTAGCAGAAAAGCTTTGAAAGAAGGTTAGTCAGTTTGATTATAGACTTGTCAAATTGTTCGTTATATTGTTCTGAAAATAAAACACTACAATTGCTGCAAAATTATGATAGGGTAGTCATGGTTACAAGTTTGTAATCTGCATCTCATGCAGAAAAGCTTGAAAGCAGCTAATACACTCCTTTGGGCCAGCTAGCCCTTCTCCTTAGTGTTGGTAGAGTTATCAGGGAAAACAGTAGTGCACAACGTTCTCCAACTTTTTTACTGCACCCACAGAATGAACCAAGCCTTGCTGGTCACCCCACCTTTGCTAGGCCACCTTTTTGTAACTCTGCTTATGTGAATGATCTGTAGAGCTTCCATGGGAGAAGTTGCCAAGATCTCTGCAGTCAAACATGCCTGCAGCAGGCAAAAGCAATGTCACTTACATGGCTTTAATATGTTGGGTTTAGTTAACACAGAGCTATCTCAGGTGTCGATATGAAGGAAAGTTTTCTAAAGCACAGCATAGAAGATTATCTAGTGAAGTAAGAAAGCTAGGGAAGCATTGCTATTATATAGAAAGCAACTTTGCCCCTCTGAATTTTGAATGCCACTGCACTGCAGGCTTTGCATTAAGCAAGGCTTGGGAGGAAAAGACTAATTAATTTGCTAAGATGAGAAGGGAATATGGATCTGTAATATAAAGAGATGGTAGTTTTGGAGCTTTTTTGGTGGTATACTTGTGTATATCTAGCTAAATCACTCAAATATCAAACACTTAACATCTTTTTTGGGTTGGTTTTTTTTTTTTTGAGGAAAAAGTACATGCAGTGCCATAATTGGTTTACTGACTATGCATTGCTTTTTTTTCCTCCTTTTTTTCTTCTTCTCTTTGGTCTGTTTTACTTAGGCTTTAAATCCCTCTGTGAAACACATGCTACCTTTCACTAAATTGGAGAGGTACATGTGCAATCTTCTCCCAGTGTTTTACAGCCCTTTAAGTTATATGCCTGTGGAATTATATGCATTTATGATGTTTGTGGTACTTGTCCTCTCAAAACTTTGTTTCTTTTAAACAGGAAAATTCAAGAGAAGAAAGCAGAAGTCTGGTTCACCAGATGTCCAATGAAAGCAGACTGTCTATAGCAGACTCTCTCACAGAATTTTTTGATGCACAGGAAGTCCTACTGTCTGCTAGCTCTTCGGAAAATGAGGTCTATCTGAACATTAACATTTACGTCATTCTGGTGTAGTTTCTTTTCTGCTACTTGACATGCAGTCTTTCTGAGAACTAATTGCACATCAGATGACTGCCAGAAAATGAAAATTTTCAAAACATTTAGAAATTAATATGTTGCGTGTGTTTATTTGTTGTCATTATCTCTTCACAGTAAAATGCAATAACTATTATGGAGAAGTCTTATATGTGCATTCAGACAAATGGCAATAAGGTAGCCAGTATGCAGATACTGCATATATTGTACTGCCTGCCTTGAGTTGTTATACGGGTGCTTAAGAAATTGTATCATAGAAATATATATTCATATCTGTCCTTGTGGTACCTGTAGATACCTTAGGGCTGATGTCATGCATATTGAACCTTAATAGCTCACTTTCCCGCCTCTGGACTCCATAAAAACTTTGGTTTTGATATGAGGAAAGCCTTCTTAGCTGTGAGGCCAAGAAGATGAAGTATGTATCCACTAAAATAATAGTTGAATTTTCAATTATGATCTCTCTCAAGCTCAATTGTCTCTGCTTAGGACTTCTTAGTTCTTTCCTGTAATATTGAAACACAGCTTAAACAGTTCAAATCCATTAGAACAATAATTGCAATGGAAAGTAACAATTTTCATGACCATGTGGGGTTATTTTAATGAGTGATATATCTTGCTTATTTCCTGACTTCACGCTCAGGTATCAGATGATGACTCATATGTAAGTGATATCAGTGATAATGCCTCAGAAGATAACCTAAGCAATGACATGGAGAATGAAAGACAAACTTTAGGTAAGTTCGGTGTTTTTGTTATACCATATTTTGAGAATTTTCTTTGTTTCTTTTTGTTTGGGATTTTTTTTTCTTACTAGAAATAATTTGATATTACAGGTTTTGAGATGTAAACAGCCTGTATTTTTTCTCTTACAGCCTCAGATTGGTTTTGAACAGCACATTCTGGCTAATCTGATTAACAGGGCCTGGGCACTGTCAATTAAACAGAATAGTGGTTCTGTTATCAGCAGAGAAACACCTATCTTCCTTATGGCCACAGGATTTTTCAAAGTAACAAGGCCTATCTGCTTTCTTTTCTTCAAAAAGTTATGTTCTTCTTGACACTCTGTTTTTTTCGGTCTGCAATTTAACAACCACATTCAGAGTTCTGTTGTTTTTAGCAGAACTCAGCATTTAAAGGAACACGAGAATAATTACACGCTGGCAGACCTGGTGTATGACCATAAGGATTTCTTTTTTGCATGTTTTAATCATGAGTTTTGTTGGTACTTTTGTTTACTTAACTGTCTTGCTAATTAGAGACAGAATCAAAAAAAGAGGGAGAAGAATTGGTCATAACAAACTAATTTGCTTTGCGCCTTCAACTCTTTTTAGTTAACCACAATGTTCTTCCCATTCTACAAATATATTTTTATCTTCAAAAATGCTGAACAGTGGTTTCTTACTAGCAGCTGTTTCCTGATTATCTCCAAGGACCACTCTATCCCTATGAACTTGGATAATTTGAAATACCTGGAAATCTGTTATATTCTGAATATTCTGAAACTGTTTAAAAAAAATTTTTTTTTGAAAGATAGGAAAGAATACAGATTGATTTATCTCATTATCTGGACTTTAGAAAACTGTTCTAGTGTGTCTGTTTATCTTCATGTAACAAAGGCTTATCACTGGAGCTCTTCCATATTAGCAGCACCTTCGCATGTTTCTGGTACCTGCTATTTCTGTGCTTTGGGCAGCCTGCCCACATTAATAGCAAACTGGATGTCTTTTTCCTACAGGGCTTTAGCTGAACCATAAATTGTGGGACTAGGATAAAATCCTCTGGCCACTGTAATGTAGAAGGTCAGACCAGATGATGATAGTGGTCCAATTTGTCTTTAAAAGTCACTGAGTCTAGCTGGAGGTCAGATATCTTAGTCTCCTTTGGTATTGTTGCTGGCCATTTATCACAGCTCTTGCAAACATAAACTGCACAGGCTTTTCTTTTCATGGGGTGTGGGCAAATTTCACTGTATAGAAAATTTGATATCTGAGTATCTTAGTTGTTTCCCTACTCTGTTTTGTCACTGGTTTACCTCAATTAATGGGGTGGTGCAGAATATGCAGTTCAGTCAATTAGTATTCTGCTTTTAATCAGAAGCTGTCAAAGGACATAACAAATCCCATTTCAGAGAGCTCTTTTGAACAAGGATAAATTTTTAGAATTTACCTACTTCCTCTACAGCTATCCCCTCATTCCTGAGGTATTTAAGGGAACATCCTTCTTTTTGGCCTCTTCTGGTATTAAATAAATTCTTCCAAGGGGGAAATATAGGAGCCAACCTCTTAATTAACGGTACAATTGTTTCAGGTAGATTTTTTTTTTTTTGATTCATAGTGTCCATGCCATTTTTATGCAAAAAATAAATATAGGCAGTAGACTGCAGATAGTTTACCTGTCCTCATTACAGTAACTCAGTCATATGAGATAATAGGACTTCTAGTTTGTGAGTGTCAGGAAAGATAGAAACTTCTTCCTCAAAACTTTGAGGCTACTGATTACACTTGAAAACCTCCAACTGAGGCATGGGCTAGCATACATGTGTCACGGAAGGAGTCAGAGTTAGTTACGCACTTCACTCACATGAGAGAAGCAGCAATATATTTCTTTATATAAAACTATGAGTTAACAAAGTTCAAAGGTTAATGTGACAATGATTTAACAGGATTTGATGGCAAGGTGCACTTGATTATTTACTGCATAGAGGACAGGGTCAGACAAAACTGTCAGGGAGACCCTCCCATTGAGTCACAAGGGTCAGAAAGGACCCCTTGCTCTCTAAACTCCTCCTCAGAGAGGAGCCTAGGTGCGGATGGATCCAATCCTTATCCCAGACTTGGTCAACAGTTTATGTCTAAAGAATACAGAGGGTAAGGGAAACCCTCCTGTTGAGTCACAAGGTTCAGAAAGGACTCCCTTGCTCTCTGAACTCCTCCTTCGGTGCGGCTGGGTCCAATCCTACTCCCAGACTTGGTTAACCATTTATGTCTAAAGGATTATATATACACATTAAATCCTTTACATCACTTAGCTAAGCTTTCATAGTTTAGCATGCTATTAGTCGCTTACTGAGAATCTGTCGTGGCAAGGAATCCCTCAAACTCGAGGAGTAACCTTGAGAGGTGTCCCTATCAAGGGGAGATTCTGGCGTGCAGCCCCATCACTTATGCTAAACTATGAAAGCTTAGCTGCTATTAGTCGCTTACTGAGAATCTGTCGTGGCAAGGAATCCCTCAAACTCGAGGAGTAACCTTGAGAGGTGTCCCTATCAAGGGGAGATTCTGGCGTGCAGCCCGCTGCTGTGCAGGATAGCGCAATGGGCCCCCGGCTGTTCACTGTTTATGCAAGCTCAGATAGCCTTCAGCTGTTTGAGCAAGATGTGCAAGATAGCCCTTGGCTGTTGTGTTGTTATCTGTGTCTCCCCAGTCTACTCAGAGTCAGAGCCAGATGCAGCTGTCAGGACCAGACACACCCATTATTGCAGGAGATAAAGCTCAGGCTGCGGGGCAGGGAGCACACCACCACAGCATGGCAGCAATGGAGAAGTTAGCCCTTGTGGTTATCTGCACTCTGCCACTGCTGGCAGCACTGCTGATATCGCGCTTATGTCGGTGGACCAGCAGAAGAAATACTGGTTGAAAGTGTGCATTTAAGGGCAGTGATTCTTTGGGCATGTGCAGCACAGGAAAGATGTGCTGCCCAGTGCTGTTTTCATTCCTCCACGATAAAGCTGTGTGAGGAAACCAGATGAGGACAGGGGTTGAGCAGCTGGGGCTATACCTGAATGTCTCCAAATGATAACCAGTCCTAGGGCAGCAGCTTTCTAGGTGCCTCTAGGGACGTGTAAAGATAAAACATGTTCTTGTAGTGCCAACTGTATTCCTCTCTGAAATAAGACTGAAGTACAGGTAAGCAATGTAATCACTTCAGACTAGTGCCTGTTGCAGAAGCTTGTGCCTCTATTTTGATCCTGCCACAAATCACTTCATGGCACACTTAGAATTATTTATCTTGTTCCAATTGCTTTGACATAGCAGCACAGACCTCTGATATTCATGTCAGCATATTCATGTCCTTGTTTCTTATTTTAATCTTCAGCAAACCCAGTTGCTTCAGCTTTAAAACAGGCTATTTCTTCAGCAACGTATGGGTGTATCTAAAAGCTAACATCCTAAAATTTTTTAAATGTTGAGCACTGTGGAAAAGCCTGTGGTGCAGTAAATTTCCCTGGTAGAAGTATTCAAAAAAGTAGGAAAAGATAGGTAGGAGTTGTTATTATGTTTGTATCTGTAAGTTTTGCCTTGCCTTCTGATAAGTGTCAACTTAATTGAAGCTCTGTCAGGGAGGGAGGTTTTATGTCCCTGAAATAGCTAGGAATCCATCTCTTACAAATGAAACAGTTATAATATTTACTCCTTCAAATTCATTGGAAAGCCTGAGCCTTTCTTATAGCCCTTAAGGGGAAGGAAGGTAATTTTTTATGCATCTTTTATACCTGGTATTTACTTCAGATAATATACAGAAAAAAAATCTTAATTTTATCACTTTTATAACAGGTTATTTTCAAAACACAAGTGAAATACTTGAATGAATTGTGAGGGTGGAAGGACAGTTTGGCAGAAAGAAGATGGCTGCATTTTAATGTATGTTTGCAAAGGGGATGAAACTCAGTAAACAGTGAATTGACTTGTTCTGCCCCTTCCTTCCTTTTCAGACTGTATTTCGGAAAGTGGAATTGGATGCAATTCAAAACGGAGAACATGTTTACCAGCTCCATGTCCTAATACAAGTAACATCAGCCTGTGGAATATCCTGAGAAATAACATAGGAAAGGATCTCTCCAAAGTGGCCATGCCTGTTGAATTAAATGAGCCACTTAACACCCTTCAGCGTCTCTGTGAGGAGCTAGAGTACAGCGAACTACTAGATAAAGCAGCACATACGCCTAACTCATTTGAACGGATGGTAAATATGTTATTCCAAAAACTTAGTAACACTCAATATAATTAGAACAGAGTAAATATAATAAAAACAATCTGCTAAAGAAATGAAGATATTGTGCTCCTTTATTTTTTCTCCCAGCTGAAGGAGACAGACTTTCCAAACTTATGTCTGTACATACTTACATACTTGCTATTTTTGACTCTTCTTCATAACTTCTGTTGCTTTGTCAAGAAGTCTCTCTCCTCAAGTACCTTGCTGTCCTTCAGGGTTAAACAAAGAAGTAGTTTAGTTCTGGTTTGCAGTTCTTGCTCTGTAATGTCAAAAATTTACAGCAAAAAGGGAGGGAGGGTTGTTGCTTCAAAATGTTTAAGATCTCAAAACCGGGCAATATGAATGCATGTTGGGTACAATAATGGTGTCATCTTCTGCCAGTGCAGAACCCTAAATTCAACATTTGGCAAAAGAACAAGAGAAAAATGCATTTCAGTTGTTCTGCTTCCAGGTGCACAAAAGCTGCTGAATGTGTAAGCTTGTAAATAAAGAATTAAAATCTCTTTAAATTCTCTTAAACGGAAGCTACAGATTGTCCCTTAACTGAATTAAGCCTTTTCAGCTCCATGTATCTCAAAATGAGATTATTAATGAATGTAAATAGTCATTTTATAGATACTGTTTGAAAAGCCTCTTGCTCTGACAGTCTAAGAGGGTTACAGTTTAGCATCTGTTCTCAGGACAGAGTGTGCCTATTAACTGGGGTTTTGGGTGCATAGCTTTTTTTGTTCTCTCGAGAACATATGTTGAAAGGAAAAGGATATGAGCAGTAGTTTTTTATATGGGAGTGAAAAGAAGCCTTTTCTCTCCTTCCCACACCTAAGCATCTGGAAATTACCTCAGAATGGAGTAGTCTTTGAGAAATTTCTGAGGCAAAATTAATGCTAGCTGTTGCATAGTAATTGCAGTAGTTCATAAAAGAGCCATTTTGAAGTGGATTCAGTTTCTGAAATTGTGAAAGGAGAGCATCTATACTTTCAGAAGATGAGAAATAGGGAATGAAAAGGGAGAAAAATGGTACAAAGAGACCTGAATTGAACAACCCCAAATTCCAGTTCCTCACATTTAGGAGGAATTATGCTTGAGCTGGATGCAAAAACTTGGAAGGGTGCCTGTGTCTCAGTCATAATCAAGTATAGTTTCATGATTAGGTAATAGCACACAGTAGATAAAAGGAAATTTAATTCAAACTTCGTTATAAATAGCAAACGTGGTGAAAACTCATCCAATATTTCCTGTGCCATGTTTAGGAAAAGGATAGTTGGTAGATCCTTAGAATCACAGACCATAACTATAAAAGCCAGTTATAATACAAAATATAACAGTGATTTTTAAGGTTACTGCTTTGCACTGTGTTGCAGAATGGTAAGCTGTTTCAAACAGTTTTCAGAAATGCTGTTTTCAGTTTATGAAATTTGCAGTGTTTGACCCTAATAACTCCACCCATGGACTACTGCATGACTCTCTGAAAACAGAATAATTCTTTAATGTGTGAGCTAGTACTTAACTTGCAGGAAGCAGGCACATTCACAGTCTGCAAATGAAGGGAGAAATACAGAATCTGATGTCAGGATAAGACCTTATTGGTTTTTTTTTGTCTGCTAAATCAGAATGTATAACAAAAATTGTGCGTAGCTGTGGTAAATTAATCTAAACTGCACATATGTTATTCCCAGGTGTATATAGCTGCATTTGCAGTCTCTGCTTATGCATCCAGTTACTACCGAGCTGGAAGTAAGCCATTTAATCCTGTGCTTGGAGAAACCTATGAATGTATTCGTGAAGATAAGGGTTTCCAGTTCTTTGCAGAACAGGTACTGTATGCTGCAACTCATAGATTTGCTACTTGATACACTGCTTAATTCTAATGCATGGATGGAATCCTCTGGAATTAATAGCAAAATACAAAATTACGTTATATAACCTGAGCCCAGCAAAATTCAAGGGTTGTTATAGAATTCTAAATGAAGAAAATAGGTTTTTGAGGAAAGTCTGCTAACTCTGTCATGGAACATGACAACCAACAGCTGACAGTCCAGAAGCGAAGGCTGTCAGGCTGCCTATTCCATTAACTAGATAACTTGGTTAAGTAGAGTGCAATTCCCCATGCTGAAATTGATCACAACTGCAACAAGCGTTCACATTCTTGTAATTTTCTTTTGGGTGTGATCACTAAAAATACTGTAAATCAGCTGTTTAATGTCTTCTTTTATAACAGATATATCCTTTGTGCAAGTCAATCAACCACTAGTATTTTCTGTGGCACCATAAATATTTCTGCTTCCTGTTCAAATACTTTGCAGGCTAAGCCTTTCAAATCTGGTACTACAGCTCAGAAGGTGAAGGATGTATGCAACACATCAAGGTCTGAGTGTTTATGAAAATAATTTCTCAAGAGGAGATAATTATGGATGAAAAATAGTCAATTTAAACCAGACAAGTTATCAAAATTGCAAGCTTAAGACATATGATAAAAAGGGATAAAACTTAAATAATCTCTGTCCTAGCAGAGTAAGAAGGATTGAAAGCTGTCTTGTTTTGTCTAGACATGACAAACAAATAAGCAAGTTTAGTGGGCAAGGGTGTATAACCTAGAAATTTGATCAGAGAAAGCCTTCTAAGAGGTTTCATTTAGGAAATGAAAAGTGATCATCTCTGAAGATATAACATTTTGTACATTACGTTTTAGGACTGACAGAAAGAGGGTTATGGGATCTTTCCTTAGTCTTGGGAAATGTCACAGGCAAGAGTAAAAATAAGAGGGGAAAAAAAAAAAGCAAAACAGTCAAAGCAAGAAACAAATTTGAAGTTCAAGTAATGTATCTGGTTCTTCGTTGTTTTACTTCAGTTCTAAGATGATGTGTATAGAGCACTGCAGTTACCAGTGTAACATCAACTTGGAGCAAAAAAGTGGTGCATAAAGGTTGGTACTGAGCTTAATATTAGATTTAATTAAAGTAAGAGATTGATATTGGATAAATCAGTACAAAGGCTACTTTTTCTAAAGAGGAATTTTAATACCTGAAGGGACTTGGGCAGTTAACAACTATTGTTCTAATATGTGCAATAAGTGACATGAGTCTGTAGAGTGGTAAAGTTACTGTAATGGTATGGGGTGCAGGAATATTAGGAAGGGAGGGCAGTATAGGAGGAAAGAAATTTCACACAACTTGCAAGCATTAAATATTTATCTTTGCATTGGGAGCTGTTGCTTATTGCTTGCTTGTGCAAGCATTTTGATGCTTATCTAGATAACTTGTTAGTGCAGATAGTAAGTAATCAATGGAATAGATAAGTAAAATGTATAAAACAACAGATTCTGTTCTGTTGCTAGAGTGAGTTTAGAACAATTCTACTTAGCACCATGACCTTACTCTAGAATTATAACAGTTTAAGTGAGAGCTAAATTTAACCAATGAATTATAGTGGCATCTGGGGTTAATCTGGGTGCAGTATGTGAGAGAGTGTTGCTCTTGGTGGATTATGGCATAGTTGAGAGTAATTTTCTCTTTAAAAAAAACAAAACACCACAATTAGAGGATGTTCAGTAAATAACTGGATGCCTGCAGAAAAAATGCTCAATAACAGATTTGCAAAATGAGTAACAAAGAAAGTAAAACTGCATTTGAGCCATGTAGATGGTTAAGATATTAAATTCATAGTGGGAAATGGCAATTTGACTTGAAAATAAATTTTTCTTGGTCAATAGAACAGTAGGCATTACACATCAGAGTTGGTCCTGGTCAGTTGTTAGTTATATTCACCTAGAAGGAAAAATTTACATCCAAAAAGGCGTGTCTGCTTTCACCTTGCATAGTTACTTTATTATTTCCTATTTCCTTATTTCTTTATTTACTCATAGTCCTTGCTTTGCTATTTCGGTGGTTACCCTAATTCATGTATGTGCTATTACCCAAAGCTGATAAAATGCAGAGTGTGTGGTTAGAGTTTCACACTAGAAACAGCTGAGGTGTCACTACTGCAGTAGCAGGGGTTTGCTAGATGGAATTTCACGGCTTGATTTCTCCACCCGTGGCCTCCTCAGAGATGCTGATCGCTGTCTCCTCCCTCATAGTCAAGGTTTTGTGGGTACTTACTGCACAGAAGGATTTGACCCTTTGTGTTTTTTTGGTTTTGTCTGTGTGCCTAAACTGCGGCTTTTGTTAATATATTAAGGGGGCCTTAAGGGAGAATGCAGTTATCACCTTAGAGACAATTACGAAATAATATATAGTTAGTTTTTTTCACTCGATGAACAAAATTCACAGGCCTTTCAAAAGTGCTTCCCTGTTTCTTTCAAGGCTTCTTAGGTCTCAGTACCTTATTAATCTCACTGACTCCCCCTTCAGGACACAACTGCAAAAGCAAAGTAAATGTTCCATTTGGAAATACCATATATGAATGAAAAATGGAGGGGGGGAAAAAAAAAAAAGAACCCAAACCAAAATGGTTGTTCAAGTGTTAATATGTCCATCTTTTTCCCCCCCCCCTTTCATGTCTTGCTATTAGGTCAGTCACCATCCACCTATTTCTGCATGCCATGCTGAATCTGTGAATTTTGCTTTTTGGCAAGGTAACTTTTCAGTCTATCGTTTACTGTTACAGTGTTCATAATATTTTCATTGTATGTCTAACATGAAATATCCAGAAATTGGGAAAAGGTGAAATTCCTTGCTCAAATTATACTAGAATGGCTTTAAGAAATGTTAGGCTATGCTTACTTGCATGCTTCTTACTTGGATGTGCTGCCACTATAAAAATGTTCAAGTTTTATTTTTTTTATAACATTAATTGATTATTCTTTTCATGTACAAATATCTGCATTTCTTTAAAATCAGGTTTGTATTGGAGGGGTGGTTCTTTAGTAAAGAAGAGTTGTACTTCAAGCTGTTTACAAAACAAACAAGCTATAACACAGCTTGAAAAACCACAAGTTAAATCCTGAGCCTTGGCAGATCTTGTCAACCTGTTCTGAAAATAAGCATAACAGCAAGGACAGATATATTTAAGATGTTTTTCTCTGCTGGCATTATTACAGTATGTAAGATTTTGTGCTATTTGACTACTAACAGTGTGTTTCAAAAAAATTACACTGGAGCTTTGTTTGCTTCTGTACTGCTGATGTCAGCCAGTCACAGTACCTGTGTGCTTAAATATTTTTGTACTGTACACAGAACATAGCTTTGCCTTTTAAGTCAGTTAAAATCCTTCACCTAGAGGTTTGGCAATTCAAAATGCAGCCATGTTATAACCTTTAATTCTGTTATTACTGACTCTGCTGACTTGATTATAGTTATTACAGATGGAGCCCTGCTAACTGTCATTAGTCTGGGTTTCATTATTCAATATAATTATTTGCTTTGTAAACAAATATAGGGACAAGAGTCCTTTTTTTCTTAGCTAAAAAGCAGAGATAACCAAAAATTTATGCAGTAACTGAATACTGTATAAGTAAGACTAGATAGCAGCCTGTCTTAATAAAAACTGATGAGACGGAATTGTTTAACAGACCTTGACAACAGTTGTCACTCAAATATTTTAATACTCACATTTAGAGTACGAAGCTTTTCTGTCAAGGTGAGAGCTGAGAATCTGATCAAAGGGAATCTGAGATTTGGTCTTGATGAGCACAGGAGTCCCAGTCAGGTTACTGCAGGTTTCTGGGGGTTTGGTTTGTTTTTAAATGTGGCTAGCTGAGCTTATGGGAGATCTAGACCATGTTCTTTTTTTCTAATGCAAAGGCAGTTTATAAATGCTGTGGCCTCTTGTTATGGGGCTACATTAACTTACGTGGAAAAATTAACATCAAGTTAATCATAAAGGCAGCTTGTCAATTAGGAAAGTTCTTTCTGTGTGCAAAGATCTTTTCACTTACCATATTATCTCCTTAGCCAAAAAGGAGACAGTCCTCAGCCACATTGCCAGACTAGTGCTGTCATCCCACCAGACACTGACCTTAGTTCACCTGTTTCAACATCAAGAAATCTCTTGATCATCTCTAGTGAGACAGAAGACTGGGTTCTGGCAGGGAAAGTTATTTTGGAAATAATTTTCCCTGGCTTGTGAAGCTGACTCTGCTTTTGCAAAGGAGTGTGGACACCTGAAGAATGGAAAAGCAGAAGAGAAAGTTCCAGCTATTACAGCATCTGTGCCTGAATTAATCTGAGCATAGCTTTGAAAATAACACTTTGCTTTTATTTGCTGTCGTAAAATTTTTGCATGATCAAGTTACACACTGGTTCCCAAGATGTTTCGCATGTACTGAACTCTGTGGGACAGCTTTGCCATTTATGAGAACATCAAACCTAAAAGTCAGATAATACATTTTAACTGTTAAACTCAGCAGGGTGTGCCTTTGCCCTTTCTCTTCCATCTTACTGCAGAAGAGAGAAAGCTAGTGCAGAGTATGGCTCAACACCATCATACTCAAGGTACTTTTGGACCTTTTTTTGTGCAGCATAGCTGTCATTAACAGTGCTGACCCAGCATCAAACTTCAAAATTTAAAAAAAAAAACAAACAAAAAACAACAATGATCCTTTTCTCAAGGGATAAGAAGAGGGTCACTTTTTCCATCAGGAATTCTGCCCTGTGTCCAATTCCAGCCTGTGCAATGTTATGCAGCCTGGTGTGGCTCAGTCCCATCACTTGCACATATGTACTTAGGAGATATGTAATCTCCTAACTACAGTCTGAGCATCTGTGTCACAGCCAGCATTAACAGCTTTCCCCCAGAATTGCATAGGAAAGTGGTTTTTTCTTCCTTGTGTTAGCACTAGCATATTTTTGAGACTAGAGATGATTTTTTCTCTCTTTCAGATTGGGAAAGGAATGGAATACCTAGTGTCTAAAACAGCAAGGATGCTAGTCCCCTGAGCTCTGAAGCTATGACAGTTACTGCCTGATTATCTAGCCTAATTTAACTCTATACCTTTTCTGCTGTGCTTCTCTGTCATCTTTTTTTCTCTTCCAGGTGTTTTTGCTCAATAAATTTGGCTAAACTTGCATTGAGATTTCTCTTTTTTTTTTGGAAAAATTACATGAGCCTTGGACACGTCTTTATGTGATTCAGATAAGATTTTAAAAGGCCAGTTAAACTTACAGAGGAAGTTGGACTAAATCCCTCTGCAATTTTGTGCTCATTGAAACATTCTCTTGCTTCTTCACTGTAAATGTTCTTAGTTTCTATGTTTTTGTATTTTAAATTCTGCTTTTGTTTTTGGAAATGTCTGCATTCATTCACTAGCAACTGAATTTTAGATAAATATGTGCTGTCTATAGCTTATTCGAATTCCTCTCTTTTGAAAAAGTTCTTGAGAGAGGACTTTTAAACCTCTTTTACTTTGCTGTTAAAATAAACAACATCATAATGAAAAATAACCGAACAAAACCATGTTCGAAGGTCCACAGCATTCTTTGAACACTTTTATTATGTTGCACTTTGTTATTTTGCATTTCTTGAAAATAAAGTAGAACCTAGAAATAGATTGATGACTAAACATGTCTTTTTTATTTTTTTTTCCTCTACCTGTTTCAGATGTAAGATGGAAAAACAAATTCTGGGGAAAGTCCATGGAAATTGTTCCAGTTGGTACAACACATGTAACTCTCCCGGCGTAAGTGCTGCAGTCATGCATTGCTGTTCACACACAGGCACAGATTTGCTTGCACACACTGGAGCCATGTTTATTCAGATGAGAACACGCTGTGCTGTGCCATATTAGATCTTTGGAAGAATTGGTGATTATGATTTAGTTTAAAAAGAAAGCGAGGGGGAGGGGAGAAAAAAATCCACCAAACCAAGACCAGAAGCATAAAAACAGAAGCACTAACTCTTCCCAAGGTTATAAAAGAACAAAAGATGAAATAAAAAACGTCACTCCTGTGTATCTTGAAAAAAGCAAAGTTGGTGTTTTCATACTTCAGTTGAATTTCAATCTTCATGCATTTTAAACTGACAGGGAAAAACTGCATGGTAGAGGAAGCTATGAATTCTTTTGCTTGAATATGTTTTCGAGGGAGGGGTGTTCTTGTTGCTTTCTTCTGTACCTGTATTTGTACAGACCCTAACACCATGGGGTCCTGGTCTGTAGATGAGGCTAATAGCCATCATCACTGCATAAATAATTACTGTAAGTGATAAAACCTGTTGCATATCTGGTGTTTATTATCCAGAGATGTAAGTGGCCACCGTAGTTAAGTGTTGAGTACAGTTTAAATTAAAAAAAAAAAATCTGCAGTGTTTCTATGCCAGCTTGTCAGAGCACCCATTATAGATCAACAATTAAAATCCCCTAAAATTTGGCCTATATCCATCATGTTTGCAGAACCAGAGGTCTAAAGGTTGAGTAGCGTTCTAATTACATCTGTTTTACAAAGAGAATCTACAAAATTAATTACTCTGCTATCTGAAAAAAAGGAAAATAACCCAAGAACCTAGCACTCATCAGACTAAGCGACTAAGCATGCCTTTCTCTTTTAAGTGGGTAAAATTGCGATATAGTAAGATAGTATCCAAAAGATAATGTATAAAACATGTTGAGTTCATAGTGAGTAGCTTAAGCTGTGGAGTGAAAGGTCTCTAGGATGTGATCTCTGCAACTTTTATTCACACGTTTATGAGCTCATTTGAAAATGGCATGAGATTGTTCTTGTGTGTATTTTTCTTACAGTTTTAAAGACCATTTTGCGTGGAACAAGGTGACATCTTGCATCCATAACATCTTAAGTGGGCAAAGATGGATTGAACACTACGGAGAAATCATCATCAAAAATCTTAATGATGACACTTGCCACTGCAAACTGACTTTCATAAAGGTAACCAGCAGCAACCACAGTAATGTTGGCAGTGCCTTTTCTCACAGACACAGCAGTGGGTGGATGCCATCTGCTGAAGCTCAGTACCACTGCTTACAACCTGTATTTTCCTTTAGTTCTGCTACAATTACCTGTGATTCTTTAAGAAACTTTAACTCTGAGGAACTGCTGCTCACTAGGTAGAGCCAGACAAGAAAGGGAAGCAACAGCTTTCTCAGGTGATTCCACTTGAGATGCAAAAAGTGTGGGGAAACAGAAGAAAGAAATATGATGAAAAAACTACTGTGATGAGAGAGGCAGGCACAAGGTGTTTGCTGACAGTGGTTTCCCACATGCCTTCTGGTAACCCATTGGCATGTGCTGTGGTCGCATTCATTCGGTAACTGCAGAACCAACACTTAGGTGGGATGCTTCACCCGATACTCTTTTCTAGCCCTCTGCAGGAACTCTGAGGAGCTTAAGTGACAGGTTGTGGTGTTACTCTAAAGCTTCAGTACAAGGTATCAAGATACAACTTCCTCAGGAAATGAATTTATAACTGAAATTAAAATTAATTTTTGGCAATAGATGACTACTTTCTAGTAATGGGAAATCAATGAAAACCTAGAATGGTGCCAAAATTTCTAACATGAGAAATAGTTTTGCAAAGCATGCTAGGAGACTTAACCTTAACCTGCATTTTCTGTATCTGATTGCTGGAGAAAGTCAGGGCTTTACAGATACAAGTTAAGTACTTCAGCCTACCTAAGCAGAATGGCATACTCAGCAGCAGGAGGAAAGTTTCCTTTTCTTATTTGTTTTCCTGAATACTTTGTGCTTTCTAAGAAGTATTAGGATGATTTTTTTTCCCAAATATTTATTTGAAAGTACTGTAATGTATTTTCAGAGTTGAAGTTGGATTTAGAGTTCAAATTTTAAAAATGGAGAGCCTGTAAATCTTAAACCTTTTGATATTGTAAATTGTCTAAAGTGGAGATTACTATATCAGTTCCTTCTCTTCTGCAAATTTGGGGAAGATGTACATAACTAAGTCAGGAGCCAGTGTTACTTGTGATTGGGCAAAATTCAAGGTCAGCTATGCTTCACATAGTACTGTTCCTAAAAAGGGCAAACAAAATAAACACAATTCTCAACGTTAGTATTTTAGTAAGCTGATTAACAGTACTTAGAACAGTTGTTTCCATATGATATTTTAATGTATGCCTAAATGAATACTTTTTATTCCAGAAAACTGCTCTACAGCATGGTGCTATTGACAGGGCAAAATCACTCTCACTTGATCTCTTAGGCACCTGTTTTCTCCTTGTTCCTTCTAATTCTAGGCAAAGTACTGGAATCCAAATGCACATGAGATTGAAGGTGGTGTCATGGATAAATCTGGGAACGTTGTGCATCGACTCTTTGGGAAGTGGCATGAGAGTTTATACTGTGGGACAACTTCATCTTCAAACTGCATATGGAGAGCAAGTTAGTGATGTGAATGGCTAATGTACAGAACTTAAGATCTGCTTAAGAATAAACTTAGTATTTTCCTCTCTTTAGTAGGCCCCAATGTCTTGTTATTTCTGTGTGGAATATTACATTTTTGTCAAGCATTTAAAATTTAGACCAGAAGAATACATAATTTAAGTTAAGTAATATGGAGAACTTAATCCCATGGCTTTCTGCATTTTCTCCGTTCTCCCTCATTTTCATATTTGGGCACGAAGTGGGTATCGAGGACTCCAAAAGGAGGAGTCAAAAAAAAGTATCCCCCCAAACACACACTTTTTGTGTAGTGAAGTGTGGTTATTTCATGTATTTAACATTGGAGGATAGCCCACAAAGGTCAATTCTGTAATGAATATATCTGAATATCAGCCATATCTGAACTTCTCCTAAGCTCGTGGGGTTTTGTCTACTGTAGTTTGAAAAGCATTATGATAATAGCATGACCTTCATCACAGTTGTGCTCTGATTCAGCTGAGAGAACAGAAATCTGTTTTGTTGCAATGCAATTATCAAGGGGGATGTTCTCTTTTGTCACGTTAATAAAAACTTTTTATTACTCCAGAATTGAGACTGTGTCTCAGAAATGAACAAATTACTTAGAGGAGCTTGGGGTTTTCCTTCTAAAGATAACGGCATTTAGTTGGAATTCTAAATATACTCTTTTCTTCTGTAGATCCAATGCCAAAAGATTATGAACAGTGGTATGGATTCACTCAATTTGCACTGGAGTTAAATGAACTGGATCTACAAACAAGGTCACTGCTCCCATCCACTGATACACGTTTTAGGCCAGACCAAAGGTAAGAAGTTTTAAATATCTTCCTCGAATAGTTTTTAATCTTCTGTATGCTCATTTTACCCTAAACTCAGACTACTTAGTGTAGATACCTGCAGTGCATTTCTATTTCTACATTAATGTGTGTCTGAAACAGTAATTTTAATAATTTACTAAGAGATGGTCTAGTCACTATGGACCAGTGTTTCCTAAAATTAGCTCTTGGGTGCTTCTAGGTAGCTGTCTTTCCAAAGATGTTAAAACTTCAGTACTTCAGATACTGGATGTTGAATGTACTGTGTTTGAATAGCCAAAAACTGAGACAGTTGAGATTTCTTTCTGTGGTGGAATTTCCACTGTTGCTAACTTCCAAGGAAAATAATCTAATATAACAATGACTCTGAACTTGTTATGAGAGTTACTTTTCCTTAAGTGCTTTTTGATAGCACAGTTGCCTGCAGATGTAGCTGTTTACATTTTAAAAACTGTGAACTGCCTGCTGTAAAGATTAGATTCTGGAGCTCTAGAGGACCTGGCAAAGATGGGGGACAGAAGCACCAATTGTGTCTCTTATCACTGCTGGTGCTGCAGGTTTCTAGAAGAAGGGAATATTGAAGGAGCTGAAATGCAAAAGCAGAGAATTGAGCAGCTACAAAGAGAACGAAGGAAGGTGCTGGAAGAAAACAATCTAGAGCATCAGCCTAGATTTTTCAGGTACTATATAATAACTAGCATATACTATAATTTACCTAAATTCTTATTATAGATGTGGTTCTAAACTGCCATAAAGGCTCCAGTGTTTTCCAGTTTTCTTCCATATTCTTGATTTTTGTACTTTGGCAATGTAGAACACTCCAGTCTTAGTTAAAACTTGTGAATATATATTGTTTTTTCATTAGTGCATCCCTGAATTTCTTTCTAATTTTTCTGCCTTGAAGGCGATTGATACTTAGCCTATATTTGAATTTGCCTGTGTGACTGTAGCATCTTGGATTCTTTGAAGCAAGGTGAAGTAGCTGTATTTAGCTTAATTATTTCTGCTGAATTCAGTGGGATTGCCTTGTGCAGCAGCGTGCAGTCAGACCCTTTCATTTCCAGGGCTGTTTTTGACAATGTTTCCTCTATTTGATGGGAAAAGAATTATCATTCAGAGGGCATTTTATTGCTTCCTATTGTAAATCAATTAAGAGAAGACTTTCAGCCACTGAAAGACAAAAATGAGTGCTGATGAGGACACAGCCTTTTGCCCTCCAGCTTCTCCGTTCTCCTGGAATGAATGAGTTGGAGCCAAGGTGAAGGTTGTATGGAGCTATGTATCACAGTTAACAGATCTGGGATCCTAATTTTTTTCTGGATAGATAGATACTGTACTTCTGAGAAATACAGAAACGTTTAAAAGAGGTGCAAAAAGGGAATGGCTTAGGCCACTACATCTGACAAGCTGGTGAGCTAACTCATCACATGTCAATCATGCCTACTAAAGAGAAGCAAATGTTGTTTCCAGCAGGCTAAAAAGACAGGATAGAGGCAAAGTCTAATACTTTGTAATTGTATATTCACAATAAGGACTGTGAATGTGGATGAGGATTTAACTCCTCACAATGAAGATTTTACAATTGAGATTTGTGCTGTAGATTTAAATTACAGAATAAAAAAAATCTAGTTACTGTATCACAAAAAAAGTTGCCCAATGTTAGATTAGATGTGAGTTATGCATTTGACTTTTCAATAGCAATTGCTCTTTTCAACAAATAACGATCCTTGATTTACTTAAAAGAATAATTTGCTGTTGTGCCAAAAATGTTGTACACTAGATTAAAAGCAGACTAGTTCCTTCAGGGTACAGTACCTAGTGCAATGAATCTTGCCTCTTGGCTGAGAGCTATGGGTTCCCTTTATGCAATAACTGTGGTGAGCCACCTTTGGAGAGGTAGAAGGAAGGTTTCCACTTTCCACTCAAAGTTGCCTTTGAGACCACAGAATAAACCTGGGCTGTAGTTTTAAGTGCTAAACACTGGCATTTGATAGTGAAATAAGAATGTTGATCTCGGCTGAACACTAGGCTGCTGAGGTGTGTCTCCAAAGCCCGGTGCACGCATACAAGTTTGACTCTCCAAGCTGTATTGTCTTCTTTGAAGACTCTACTGAGTTGCACTGCACCTGGTTCATGGACTGGATTTGGTATGTGTGCATAGTGCTACGTTGCATTACACAGCATATGTATGGAAAATATAAGGTTTTATATTTAAGATATTTGTTTTATCTTTGATAGGAAATCTAGTGATGACTCCTGGGTGAGCAATGGAACCTACATGGACCTTAGAAAAGAACCTGGATTTTCCAAACTGGACAATCCTGTCCTCTGGTGAAAGAGGAGCTAAGTGAAGATATTCTGTGCTGTATTCTTGGGTCTGATTTTAAAGCTGTATATATAAAATATATCTATATATACATATATACACATACCTATGTATATATACACACATATATATATGTGGAGCGTGTGTATGTGTGCAAGTGTGTGTATCTCCAGAATTGTGCTTCATTTAGAATCTGATAATTCGTTTCCTTTACTCTGACTATCGCAGTGATTGTTTGAATGTATAAATACCCTAACTTCTTTTTATAAAATATTTAATAAATAGTACTGAATTTTAACAGTGAGAGGGAAAAGAGGAGCTTTTACACTACTTTTCCAATGTGTAATAATGTCAGTTCTGAGTTAACTTATGCCTTATTGAGTTGCATTGGAGACAGTAACATCAGCATCTCCTAGCTGTGCTGAGAAATCAGAGTGCAAGCCTTAGTAACTCAAACTGTAAGTAGGCTTCCACAGTTCCTCAATCAGTAGTTCAGCTGTCTCTGGGCTGGTATAAAATGCTAAAACAAATTATCAGCTGGTGCTGGAATCTGAGTATGATCTTTTACCACCTATGGAAAAGATTTAAGCTTTTGTTTCTGTTAGCTTTGCTCTTAGCATTATGGAAGAGGTAGTTCTGAGCTTACGTCAGTGGTTCTGCTGCCTTATACATAAACTGTACCTGGCTAAATGTAGTGCTAGAAGTTCAGGAATCACCAAGATTTTCCATTGGGAATCTTCAGATTTATAGCCCCCAACGGGGCAAGAGGAGGAGATGCTTTGCATATACTACTTGAGCACTGACGAGGTGAAGAAGCTCTCTCTTTTTCCAGTAGCTAAAATCTATACAGAGCACGAAATCCTGTGCTTCCATAGCTTCATTTGTTTTTATTAACCTAAAAACTGCAACAGTAAGACTTTTTAAAAAGTAAGAAAACTGATTGTTTTAAGCTAGACATTTTTTCTTAGTATTTTGATATTTTCTACCTCTTAAAGAAATAAACAGCATATTTAAGATCTTATATTTAAAAAAAGACCAGCTGCCTTATGGAGAAATGTATGGAGTCTTTGATCTTCCTCTGTTTATTATGTTCAGATAAATATTCAACTGTCTTGCACTAAATCAATTGCATCTCTTTCCTGTAATTTTATATGTATGGGTAAATTTGTGAAACTACTAAACCACAGGTCAGAAGTACAGCAGAAAACAAATGTAGCAGAAGTCTCACTTTTGAATGGAGATTATAGAGATGGGCAGTGTTTTTATTTTTTCCATGAAATCACAATGCCACGGTCATTAACAGAATAATTTACATTCCTACCTATCCACAACTCAAGCCTGACTCATTATTCTTCAAGTCTGTTCTATGTGTTTGTGACTCTCTGGCAATAATGCAGTTTTCAAGTTTAGATCTGTATCCTGTCACCCCCTCTCCCCCCCTTTTCTTTTTCTTATGTGCCACTTTAATGACACAAAATAAACCCAAATGTTGTTGACATGTTTAGCTTATGTGTGGGAACAACTGGACAGGGCACGGACAAGGAAAACTTCTAGGGGAACTAGTAGCTTAGAAAAGCTTCCACTTTACTGTGTGCTTCTGCATTGTTCTAAAGAAAGCCCATTAAAATGGATCCATGTATTATATGTAACATGAAGGAAATACTATGAACGCGTCCATTTTAAACCAAATCTGTGATGTCAGATTTGATGTACATTTGAATGTTGCTTTCTGTTACCTTGAAGCCCCATTGTCTTACAGGCAGATGAATGCTTTTTCACCATTTTTCACTTTGCCCAGGAACTCTGCCTCACTGTCACTTCTGTAATTTATTACCAAAGAAGTTAGCATAATTCTTTCTATTTAATACATCTTTTAAAGACTTGACTACCACACCAGCAGCTTACAACAAGGCAAGGTTCATGTCAATATGAAGACAAAATCTGGGCTTTGATTCCAAAGGAGATCTTAACTTTTGAGGGCTGTTTGGCTTTTCAAGGAGAGTGAGGATCTCTTTGTGACTTGTTTCCTTCCTGTGTTTTATTCTTGGTATTAACTGTCAAGACTTCGTTACAGAAATTAGTTCATATTTGTAATTATCCTTGCTGTTGGTAATTACCATTTATACTAAAAATAACATTAATTTAACAACAAAAGGGGGAGAGAAGTTTTAAGAAAGGGAGAAAAAATTAGTGGAGGATGCATTAAACTTGCTCATCATCATATTTCGCAGCTGCTGGGAATACTGTCTGATCTGATTGCTGGGTTTGTGTTTTCTGTGTATGGAGGGGATTTCCCCATACTTTTTAATATGACCTAATAGTTGACAGCATCTGAAATCAAAGAATTAGAGTCCAAAAGGCAAAGTTAAAGAATTGTAATGCATTAAAATCAGCAAGTGTTAAACAAAACTAATCTCATATTGGGTGTTTGAGCCATGATTTTTGAGAAATCAGACTGGCAGTGTTGCCTTGTATATTGCATCTAAAATACATTTGATTAATAACAAGAAGCATCGGGCTGAGTAGTGCCTTATATAAAACTTTCTTCAGCAGAAATCCCACATTAAGGTAAACTTCAGAATTTGACTATCCTCTCAAGAAAAATAATGCCTGAGCATAATCCAGGGCATTTCTTAAATACATGAAGCAAAATAATTGCACAAGTAATAGCTCCTTTTGTAAAACTCTGATACACATCTGCAAACCTGGTGTAACCACTTGTGAATGAACCTCTGAACCTATGTTTCCAACTGCACTACAGTTATCCCTGCTTACTTTTGTACACAACAATTGGGTTTGGTTGTTAAACTTCTGTCAACTGTATCTTAAGCAGTGGAAGGAAATTGGCTTGATGTTTCTTCTGTGTATTTCTGCATAAAAATATATTCATCATTCACAAACCTTCATATACTCTGTACAGTTATTCTTGGTAAAATATGGAATTTTGATAATTTTCTTCCCCAAAGCTTCAGATGTGTTAATGGGAGCAAAACTTACAGTAGCTTTCTGCAATATAACTAAGACAGCTCTTGTTTTTAATAACTGACATTGAGGCACTTTTTTCCCCATTTCTAACCTGAATGGTAAAAAGAACATATCGGGCAACTTACTGCTTCCCTTCATACACAGCCGTGATCCCCAAGCTGTTTAGCCCAATGGATCAGTCTTAACATTTCCTGATGATCATTGCTTGCTGTTATATCTCTCTGATGACTTTATAAGCATTACTTAATATTATCTTGGAGGGCAGTTTATGAAGCACTCATCTAACACTGCCCTTCTTTGTGCACCCATTCACAAAATAAAAAACTCACTATAAACTTTCATCAAGATGACGGAGCATCTCAGTCAGGCCTTTGGGTGTTAAAACAGAGTTTTCAAATTCCACAGCACAGAAAGAAAAAAATAACAAGGAAATCCAGGGAAATAGTGTTCATACAAACAGAAACCCCCAGCTTTACTTACAGATTTGCAGGCTTGACACTTAGTTTCTGATTTTGGTACAGTGTAAACTTGGGATTATGAAACAGTATAACTTGTTTAGGAGACTACTCTTGACAGCATAAAGTGCCCTTTAGACTGAGTGGAAGTGGAGTGCACCATTAACCATTGCATTCCCTTCTTAATCTCTGCTCTCTGAGGTATGCTTTCTGAGATATGCTTTATGTGTTAGTTTGCCAGCACTGATTTACTTCTTTTAGATGCTTTTTGAAATACGGATCCAGTAAAGTATTTAGGTTCTTTATATGAAGCTTGGAAAATTAGATGCATGGAAGGAAGAGCGAAAATAGCCAAAATTTTGAGAAGGAAACATCACAGAGATCTGTTCTTCCATCAATAAGTTTTCTGAGGGACTGGAAGTAGGATTGCTGCTTTCTTTTGAAACCTGGTCCCTGAAGGAGGTGGTGGTTGCACACACAGTCACCTTATTATTTGGTAGTTTAGTGTTGAAGACAGATCACTGTACAGAAAGGAACACAAATTAATGGGAACAGAACATACAACCAAGGCCAACCTTGGGGTTGCACAGAGGTCCAGTGCTGGTCTAAAAAACAACCTAACAAAAGCTTCATCCTTTCCCATGCCCCCACTTTCCCTCAGCTGTTTACAGTCCTGTTTAGGTTTTCTATGAGGCCCCTCATACCTAAAAGTCCTTATTCAGTGTCCCATTTTCATTAAAAAAATTTCTAAAGAGTAGGAAAACAGTCCATTCTAACAAGCTTTAAAATGACAAATCATGCCTAAAAGCTGTAGTTAAAAACTTTCCCTAGAAACATTGTGGCCTGCTTCTGTATCTTTTCCTTGACTGGGACAGGACTTTCTTCCTGCTTGTGCTCTGGAGCCAGATCTGATAAGGGGAGCGTGCTACAGAAATGTGCACCTACAGCTGCTCAGCATACTCCTAATTTATGTCCTTCCATCTGCTTTTCATAGTATCATAGAATAGTTTGTGTTGGAAAGGACCTTGGGGATCGAGTTCCAACCCCCCTGCCATGGGCTGGGACACCGCCCACTGGACCAGGTTGCTCAAAGCCTCATCCAGCCTGGCCTTGAACACCTCCAGGGATGGGGCATCCACAGCTTCCCTGGGCAACCTGTGCCAGTGTCTCACCACCTTCATAGTAAAATATTTCTTCCTAATATCTAGTCTAAATCTGACCTCTTCCAGTTTAAATCCATTGCCCCTCACCCTGTCACTACGTGTCCTTGTAAAAAGTCCCTCCCCATCTCTCCTGTAGCCCCCTTCAGGTACTGGAAGGCCACTACAAGGTCTCCCCAGAGCCTTCTCTTCTCCAGGGTGAACAACCCCAACTCTCTCAGCCTGTCCTCATATGGGAGGTGCTCCAGCCCTCTGACCATCTTTGTGGCCCTCCTCTGGACCCACTCCAACAGCTCAGCATCCTTTTTGTGTTGGGGGGCCCCAGGACTGGATGCAGTAGTCCAGGTGGAGTCTCACAAGAGCAGAGCAGAGGGGCTTTTGTGTCAATCTCTTCTGTCATCTCTCCTGA